CCGTGCCATAGGACCGAGACCTGCCCTGAGGCAGCTCAAGGTACCGAGGACACAGGGAGTGCCCTCTGGGCCCCTGTACCTGTTGGCACCATGTTCCTGGACCAGTGTGGCCATCCATGTGCCCATTTGTCCCCAGAGAGCCCTGGGGCTCTTGGCCTGTTTTGCTGGCTTCTGGCCCAACACCCACCTTGGCATCCAGCTTGTCCGTCTGGCCACCAGCCTGGTTCAGTCCATCTTGGGGGGGCTGAAGGTGGATGGGGGTGGTGGGATTCAGAATTCCCTGAGGGAGGAGAGGAGGGGTTCTGGGACTGGCACCCCAACTGTGGGGGTCAACCTCCCACAGGACGCTAGATGGCAAGCGCTGCCTCCTGGCCCCCCTGCCCTTGCCTCTCTTTCCCTGGGCTTCCAGGGGCTGTGCCTGCTGGGCTCCAGGTCCAGGGGGTCTCCATCTCTGCTGCCAGTTGACCCCCCCCCCCAAACATCAGGTGTATCCACGCAAAGCCAGGGGATAGGGCGTTTGGAGCAGCCAGGGTCCAATGCTACAGAGCCCCCTCAGCCCCTAGCCCCCTCCCCAGCCCCCTCTTCTCTTTGGGGTCCATCCTCATTTCCTTGTAGTCCGGTCCCTGCCTTCATCCCAGGACCCGGCTCTCCGACCCCCACCTCAGTGGGCCCCTCCCAAGCCCTTCCAAATGTACTCACCATGGGGCCGGAGAGGGGTCTGTAGGGTCCTCCACCCCACTGCTTCCTGGGGGCTGGTGGTGGCTCCAGGGACCCAAACACCTGGCTCCCGGGGGGTAGCTGCGTCCTGTGCTGGCAGCCGGAGAGGCACAGCCAGTGATTGGCATGTCCCACCCCCTGGCACGCCAGCCTGGGGGGGGAGGGAGGAAGGGAAAAAGAGGGAGGGAGAAAAGGAAGGGAGGGGAGCTGGAGGGAAGCCTCAGGCAACGTCTGGGGTTGGACCGGGTCCTGGAGCCTGCCCCCCTCTTCCACCGGGGCCCCCAACTTGAGCCCCAAGAGGGAGGGGGCAGGCCATGAGGAAGATGAGCCCAGGAAGGCTAAAAGTCCAGAGTGAGAGAGAAGGCGGATACAGGGAGACAAACACCCACGCCCACTGCACACAGACTCAGCAGCGCACACACACACCCTCACAAAAGCACACTCTGTTTCCTCGGCTCCTTCCCCCACCAACCTCGGAGCCCCCAGCCCCAGTGCACCGTGGCCGACACACGCTCCCGGGGCTCACATGCCTCCTTCCTTCACACACTCCCCACCCACCCGCACATGCCCACACACCCACCCGCCCACCCACTCAGCCCCACACCCTGTTCTTCTCCCTGCTGCGAAGGAACTAGGTTCCTTCTGTTTGGAAATGACACATTGAGCCTCATGTGAGAGGCTCCGACTTGGAACAGACCCAGAGGGCTGGCACGCCCGCCCCGGGGCCGAGCGGACGTGCCTGCTGCCGGGCCCTGTGCTTTTGTGCTTGGCCCCGCTGCAGAGCGTGGTGTGAGGGCGTACGGTGTCTGGTTTTGGGGGTCAGTGGGGGGCTATGTGCCTGCTCCACATGATGCTGAGTGCCCCGCACACGTGTACCCCGAGTACGCATGTCACCACACAGCCTTTGCAAATACAGGTGTCAACCTGTTGGTCTGGAGCCAGGATGCGTGTGTGCACGCGTGTCTGTATTTGGTGTGTGTCTGAGTGCCGCCTAACTGTGGGGCTTGTTAATTCTGACAAGTGAGGCAGCTTCTATCTCCCTGCCTGCTCCACCCCCACCTTCCACTTGGAAGACAGACAGACAGGCAGACAGACAGCTCTCCTCCCAGCTTGTCAAACCGTCTCCCCTGACTCCCACTCGGGGCTCACAGGTGTGTACCTGGGAAGTGACAGACCTGCCCTTCCTCCTCACCTCGGCCCTACCTCTCGGCCAGCTCCCCTCCCCCACCGGTTTGGATTTCTGTGTTGAGTTTCCTCAGAGACAGAACCCCTGGGGGCCCTCTGCCATAGAGACTTGGGTCCTGCACCTGGCCTAGAGGCCTCCTGGGGAGCCGACCACGGGGACAGACGAGAGAGGAGGTGGCTGCCGCTGGGCTGGCGTGTGCTTTGCCCCACGGGGCCACGCCGAAGCCCTGGGGGGAAGGCAGCAGCAGGGTCATCCATTGTCCCCATTGTGTAGACGAGGAAACCAAAGAGCAGAAGTGTGACTAATCTGTGGTGGGTGAGCGTTTGATGAAGGTCCCTTAGCTCTAGGCTCAGGGATCTGGAGTCATCAGGGCTTGGGACCTGCCCGCCACTCTCCCGCTGCCCATTTCCCCACCGAGCTCGCCCTCTCACTTCTGATGCCCGCAGGTAACCTGGGGCTGGAGCCCAGTCGCCAGTGGAACCAGGTGGAGAGGAACTGGAGTCCCTGGGGCTTGGCCAACAGCCATGGTAGGCACACGTGGCCGGTGCATGTGGGGGCGTCCTCGATTCTCGAAGGCTGCGGAGGCCAGAGCAAGCACCCAGTCCACCTCCCTTCTGGGGTCGAGGACATAGTGCAGCTGGGAGAGGCGTCGGAGCACCTGCTCCAGTCCCTGCTCAGCCAGCGGGTCAGGGGTGGGGCAGAGCTCGGCCAGTCCCTGCCCCTGGGCTCGGACTCCTGCCGCCCCCTGCTGGACGGTCCTGGTGTGTGGCTGCGGCTCTCGGGAGTGGTGGGGCTGCGGACACTTGTGCGCGCACACGTGGCTGAGTGCGGGGGTGTTAGGCCTCCAAGCTCAACATCCATTTCCGAGTCTGAATCAGGCTTTCTCTTTTTTTGCCCCCTCCCCCCAGTCTCCTTGGTCTCCCTTTTCTCTTCTCCCACCGCCTCTGCACACGTCCCTGTAGAAATAAAAACACTTATTTTGTAGGCGGAGAGGAGGGTGTCCAGCTTCCCCCTGCCTCTTTGGAGAGCCCCTCTCTGTCCCAAGCGGTTTTCTCTTTAAGGCGGTGCAGCCCGCGGAGGCAGGGGAATAACGCGCCCCATGTCCCTCCTCCCCGCCCCACCCCACCCCATCCCACCCCACCCCACCCCACGACTGCTCTGCCCAGGTCTTCAGGGCCAGGTCCCAGGACCAGATGGGGAAACTGAGGTAGGAAGGGAGAAGGGAGGTGGGGCCGGGAGCAGAGCTCCCACCCAGCTCTCTCACCGCCCCCGCACCCGCGCCCGATTTAGCCACAGGGAGGCTGGGAACATTGTCTTTATTTTAAGCCGCTGAGTGCGGCACGAACGCGGCTGCTCGCGACAAAGGGCTTCGCAAAGCAGCGGCAGGAGGCGCACGTGGGGGTCCGTCCCCCGCCCCCACCGTGCGACCCCCTCAAGCCTCCAGGCAGCGGCCCGGCCTGACCTCAGCCAGTTTTGTCTTGTCTGGCCGGGTGGGACCCGCGTTGGCGCGGCACACCCGGGTCTCCGATCCTACCAGTTGCTATTTTGGGTCACTTGACTAAGGATTCACCCCTCCAGGCCGCGGAGGGAGCGCGGGGTCGTCCCTGCGCGGCTGGGCCCCTCTCGCGGCCTCCTCGCCAGGGACGGGATGGGAGGAAGCTGCCCTGGGGCCCACCCAGTTCTATCGCTCCCCAGTTGAGCCGCCCCGAGCAAGGTGGTGGCCCTCTCCAGGTGCCTAGGTCTCAATTTCTTCGTCAGTGTCGTGGGAGTTAGAGACATCTCTCTGACGGCGCTGTTTGATGATTAGTTTTGCATGTGAAACGTGGCAGGGGCAGGCGTTTGCTGCGAGTGAAAGCCATTATTGTTATTTATAGCGCGCCCTGACCCCTTAACTATGTGCCAGGCGTTGCTAAAACGCTCTAAATTCATGAACTGGTCTGTTTCTCACTACAACTCTCCGAGGGAGGTTCTGTTGTTGTTGTTATTATGATTATTCCCATTTTACAGATGAGTACTCTCACAGACCGCGTGCATGGGGCTCCCCAGAGGGTTCGGTGGGTGAGCCTGACGCCATCCCGGAGCTGGGGTCCAGGCTGCAGTTCAGGACCGCAGAGAACCCCGGAACGGCGCCGGATCTGGCTGAAGGCCGCGAAGGGTCGAAGGAAGCAGTGGGCCGCCCCCTCATGCTGTGAGCTCGCAGCCCCTCCGTTCAGACGCTCGCCCTCTGCTTGCGCCCACGTCACGAGGTCAAGCCCAGATGACCTCGCCACTTCTCAGTGCCGCTTCTTCAGGCCTGGGAGCAGGAGGCCGAAGGGGCGACCTTCCTCGCCCCCACCAGACGGGCGAAGCCGCGCTGGCCGGTCCTCAGTGCCGTGGGCAGGGGCGTGGGTTGGTGTTCTCTCCTGCCGTCCGGGTGACCTCCGCTGAGAGCCAGGAAAGGAGGCAGCTGGTCCTCCTGAGGGCGCCCCTCCTTGCTCACCTTTTCCCCATCGCTTTAGGCCCCCCCAGCCTTGCTCCCCACCCCCACCCCGACGGCGGGGATCTAGGTTAGATTAGAGAGGCTAATTAGAGACTAATTAGAGAGACTAATTCCAGGATTTAAAATAATGCTGAAATCCAGGCTGGGGCTGTGGGTACCGGAGGCCCAGTAAGTAAGGGCTGCTGGTGTTCCCACCGCCGGAGAGCCGCGGCGAAAGTGGCCACAACAAAGGCATCATCTTGGGACAGGAATCTGGATTTCCCGAATCTGGTTCGGAAATCAAAGCCGCGTCGAAATACTGCCCCTTCACGAACCGGGCGCTTTACCTCCCGGAGGGGTCCCTGCTGGGAGCCTGGGGGCAGCGGGGGGGGGCACCCAGGAGCAGCCCCCCCCCCCCGAAGGAAGCGGGTTTAGGGAGGCCGGGAGCCTGGCGCCTCGCCGGGCCTGGCCCGGGGCGGAGCGCCCCGGGATCTCACAGCGGGGGCGCGGACTCGGGTGAGTTCCAGGGCGCCCGGGTGGGGCGGGCGTGGCGACTGCTCAGTCCGGTCTCGGACGGTGGGCCGGGCCTCAGCGCGGCGCCGCGTGCCCGCAGGCGGTCCCTGAGTGTGTCCGTGCGGCCTAAGAGGGCGGGATCTCGGAGTCCAGGTCGCCTGCGGCCCAGGAGCTGCGCGCCCCGGTGACCGGCGCCCGGCGGCGGGGAAGGGTCGCTTTCTTCTGTGCTCCGGCGGCAGGTGCGTCCCGCTCGCATCGCTGCTGCGGAGAACGGCCCGCCGAGTGTGCCTGGCGGCGTCGACTCTGCTTTGCTTGGTCACTGGACATCGGGCCCCCACGTTTTCCGCCGGGAAGAATACACGCCCCGGCCCAGCGAGAGGCTGCCGGAGGGAAGCCGGCCTGCGGGGGCGCTTCGGGAGGGAGCTCCGGGCCGGGCCCCGCGGCTGCTGCCCGGGCCTCTTTCTCCAGGCCCGAGTCTGCGCGCCCAGGGAGCGCCCCGGGCAGGCAGGTCCGATTCCGGGGTCCCCTGACTCCAGACCCGCTCAGTTTGCTTCCTTTCCTGCTGACATTCCTGCCCCGGCTCCCCGGACAAGGCGGGAGGGTGCGCCTTGTCCTCGAGTCCCCACCGAGGTGAGACAGAAGCTGCAGGCCCACGATGGCGAGCAGTGGGCCGGGCGAGTGGAGCCTAAGCCCGGGGTCCCTCGCCCCGGCCAGGCGCGGCCAGCCCGTGGGTGGCCAGGGGGCCGGCCCTCGCCGTTCCCGATTGCCACGTCGGGAACACCGGAGCCTCTGCTCGCGGGCGTCCGCCGCGCAGTTCGCGGTGGTCCCCGCCGCACCTCCGGCGCCCGGCTCCTGCCGCCGTGCTGCCCCCTGGCGGCCGCCCAGCTCCGCGCCCCCGGGGAGCGTGGCTGGGGGTCAGGAGCCCGGGTCTGGGATGTGCTGGCGCGGGGCGCCCTTTCTCCTTCGCAGATGCGAGAGTGATAGTACAGCCCTGGCTGGCGTAGCTCAGTGGATTGAGCACGGGCTGCGAACCAAAGGGTTGACAGTTCTATTCCCAGTCAGGGCACATGCCTGGGTTGTGGGCCAGGTCCCGGGTAGGGGCCACGTGAGAAGCAACCACACATTGATGTTTCTTTCTCTCTTCCTCCCTCTCTCTCTAAAAATAAATAAAATAAAATAAGCAAATCAATACTACATGTTCCTCCTGATTCCTCCCTCACCCAGGTCTCTGGCAGGCTGGTCCAAGGATGGTGCAGTTGCTGAGGCCTGACTCCAAGCTACCGCTTCAGAGGCTCGGTGGCTGCGCTTCCTCGTTTAATCCTCGTACAGCTTCATGACATAGGTACAGCGGTGGTGCCCATTTCACAGATAGGAAACCGAGGCCCAGAGAGGTTAGGGCCGGCCCTCTTGACCCTTTCTGAGGATCTTGTCCCCCCCCCCCCGGGGTTGGAGCCCAGCTGAGAACCCCCTGGGCGGTTACGACAGGGAGGGGTGTCCTGGGAATTGGCTCGGTAAGTGCGTGCTGTCTCACTTCTTTAACCACCCATAGCCTCGACTACGTGTTGGCAGCATGTTTTAACTGGTTTGTTTTTTAGAATAACCCGTGGAAGGAGGGAGGATTAGTTTCCCTATTTTATAGATGTAGAGATTAGGGTCCCGAGAGGGTCAAGTATTCTGTCCAAGGTCGCGCAGCTAGGAGGCGCCAGAGCCAGACTCGTTGACTCGCGGCTTTGCCCCGCTCGGAAAGGCCCCCTGAGTATCAGCGTCAGCGCATTCAGGCGCCCCCCCCCCCCCCGCGGCCCCCGTAGCCGGACTGTGGGCCGAGGCCTGGGCCGAGGACCGGGGTAATCAGGCTTTCTACCCGGGTCTGAGGCCCCCTCCCCCGCCGGCCCCCTTGGCGCCGCCTGCCAGCCTGACCAGGGCAGGGACTGATGAGTCGGAGCGGGCTGTGGAGGCCGCCTGTTTACTCTGCCCGCAGGCACTCGCTGGATTAACGGTGCACAATCGAGTTAGGGCCCGGCGAGCTCCGAGGCTCAGGCGGAGGAGGGGGCGGCGCCTGCGGGCTAGCAGTGACTCTCCCCGGGGCGTCAGGGGTGCGCTTGAACTTGGAGCCCCCATAGGAGTCGGAGAAGGGGCTGTGCGCAGGCAACGGCCAGCGGACCTAGCCTGTGTCTCCGCGGGTGGGGACCAACCTTCCTGCCCTTTCCGCGGGGGACGGGAGGCTCAGAAATGGAGGGGCTGGGTGCACATTGGAAGGAGAAAGCTCTTTCCTAAAGGGCGACGTCCCGGGAGAAGATGGCGCCAGTGCAGGGAGGGAGGGAGGGAGCCAGGCCGGGTCTCGGTTTGGACAGTGGGGAGCAGCCCTGCTTGGGTCTCAAACTGCCTCACTCTCGGGGCGAGTCTGCGCCTCTGTGTCTTCCAGCTCATGGACCTCTCCCGCCAGCACATGCTCGGCCTTCTCTAGTGGTCCTGCCACCAACAGCTGGTGAGGTGACTCTGCAGACCACCTGGGGTGGGGGAAGACAGGGATAAAAACCCAGCCCCAGTTCGAACCCCTTCTTTCATTTCCATGGCCTGTAATTCAGGGTGAGGCTTCCAGAGCTTTCAGTCAGTAGTGACTGTTTAACAACCACGAGGTGCAGCCGGTGTCTTGCCCTGCTTCCCCCAGATTGATAACGCAGCCCCATCCTGGGGGACAGTCCCAGTCTGTGCCCAGAGCTGTGCTCAGCACTGGGAAGGGACCGGGAGAAACGAGAGCCCAGAAGCCATGGGGTTGAGGAGCTAGTTGAAGAGATAAGATGTTCTCGGGAAAGGTACCAGGGCAGATGAGAGCCCATGAACTTCTGAAACAGGAAAAAGCAGTGAAGAGAGATGCAGGGATAGTCAGTGAGAATGAGGCCCTGCGGAAGGGTGTTGGCCTGGCTGGAGAGGATGATGGCCTGGTTCCAGAGGCGGCGAGCACGCCAGGCGACCTGGCTGTCTGAGTCGACCGGGAGGCCCAGTCTAGAACCTTGTGGGAGAAAAGGAGCCGTGTCCTCGTTCCCGGCCTCAGTCTACCCACCTATAAACTGGGTGGGGTTAGATTCAAAGATGGACTAGATGGTCCCAAAGGACTCTGCCATCTCTGATGTTCTTTGAAGATGGGCTGACAGAATGGGGGCAGAGCCAAGGCCAAGGGCAGGGATGGAGAGCAGATCTGGAAACAGAGCAGGACGCGGGGGTCCTGGTGGGTGCCTGGCGGTGGCACATTGGCCCTTGCCCCCCGCAGAGCCAGGTGCAGGTCATGCGGTCCTCTCCCCGGGCCTTGGTGCTGGGGCAGCGCGTGCCCGTCTCTGCAAGCGGTGGTGGGAGGAGCAGGTGCATCAGGTGTTTCACTGCACCCGTAAGGAAGCCTTGAAGGGAGCAGAGGAAGCGGCGAGGACGGTGGGAACACGGGGTGCGTGCGCGCACGTGCGTGAGTGCTGCTGTCTGGGTTCAAGTGCAGCTATTTCTTAACTGTATCTCATAACCTCCCACTGCCTGAGGAGATTACAGTAATACTTACCTGAGAGCTGAAGGGTTCCCATGGGTAGGATGACATCAGAGTGTCAGGCATGATGGTTTGCCTGCCGAAAGAGTCCCATGTTCCACCTGTAGTCCGCCCCGCTCTCTCTGAACCTCTGGCAACCACTGATCTTTTTTTTTAAGGTTTTATTTATTTATTTTTAGAAAGAGGGAAAGGGAGAGAGAAAGAGAGGGAGAGAAACATCAATGTGTGGTCGCCTCCCCTGTGTCCTCAACTGGGACCTGGCCTACAACCCAGGCATGTGCCCTGACTGGGAATTGAACCAGGGACCCTTTGGTTTGAAGGCTGGCACTCAATCCATTGAGACACACCAGCCAGGGCTGATTTTGTTTTTAAATCTGTAAACTTTTTTTTTTCATTGCTTTTGGCGGGGGGGGGTAGAGAGAGTGGGAGAGGAGGAGAGAGAGAGAGCGAGATGATATATAGAGGGAAACATCTGTTGGTTGCCTCCAGTATGCAGCCTGACTGGGGATTGAACCTGCAACCCTTTGGTTTACTGGACGACACTCCAACCACCTGAGCCACACTGGCCAGGGCAACTACTGATCTTTTTATTATCTCCTTATATTTCCATTTTTTGATGTTACTGTAAATGGTATTGTCTTTTAAATGTTTATTTCCAGTAGTTTATTGCCAATATACACAAGTGTAACTCTTTTAAAGATTTTATTTATTTATTTTTTAGATACAGGAGAAAAGAGGGAGAAAGAGAGGGAGAGAAACATTGTTGTGTGAGAGAAACATCCATCTGTTGCCTCTTGCAGGTTCCCCAATCAGGGACTGTCTCTCAACCCAGGCATGTGCCCCCACCATCAATCAAACCAGCAACCTTTTGCTTTGCAGGACAGGGCTCAACCACTTGAACCAGAAATTCGATTCTTTTAAAATACTGATCTTGTAACTTGCAACCTTGCGAAATGTGTCTTAGTTGTAGCAGCATTTGAAGATTCCACTGGATTTTCTACAGAGGACATCACTGCATGATTTTGGGGACAGAGGATTGGCTGATGTGTTGGGGCCAGAGGGGAAGAGCTGGAGAAGTTGGGCAAAGTTACTTTAATGAGCAGGGCCCGGGGGGAAGTGTTTCTCTGCACCCACAGGTACAGCAGAGGTGGCTCCTGTCCTCCCCGGCTGCCATTTCTCCGTTCCTGCTTAACGTGGATATCTGGGTGGGGCAGGGGTAGGGTGGGTGGGGGGGCTGGGGGGGCCCTCCTTTTCCTCCACTCTCTGCCCTTTCTCAGTCTTCAGGAGGCCTGGAGCATGACCATCTGCTGCTCCTGCCCCAATTTCTTTTTCCATCTACAGGGGAAGGACAAGCAGGGTTTGAGTCGACTTGGGTTTTTTTTACACGTGTGCTCAGCTGTCCCACTTGATATTCCAAACTGCCCACTGTTTTTAAGAGCCAGGAGTCTCAAAAAGGATTCCGGGGGACTCAGCCTATGTGTGAGAACAGGACCCAGGAGGCCCAGGACACCAGAGGCCTGCGTTCTGGCCTTGGCTCCCCCAGAGTCCTGCTGAATGACCCTAGGTAAGTCCCTGCTCTCCCCGGGGCCTGGCCTTCTTTTGTCCAGCGAGGCCAGATCAAGGAGATGGGAGCGTCTTGTAGCTCTGAGGGAGGGGAGGGGAGGGGAGGGGAGGGTGCAGCCCACCTTCTTTCCAGGTCCTGAACTGTGTTGGGCAGTGGTTGGCCCTGGGTCTCTGGCAGGAAGAGGGTGACAGCGCAGGCAGCCACAGGGGCCACTTTGCAGATGAAGAGAGGAAGGGAGGGGTCACGGCCACTCATGGGCTTAGGCTTCCGCCTGTGATACCCAAGGCTGTTGGCATGGCCATACCACCCATCTGTCTGTGGGGAGGAGACCTTGGGGAGGGGGGTGCGGCAGCCCCAGCTGTGCCTGCCACGGTTGCTTTTTCTTTTCACATTCCCCACTATAGTGCCAAACGCTGGCATTGACCTTGGCTAAAAGGAAGGTGGGAAGCAAATGGTTTTGGCACCAGGAAGCGTGGCTTCCAGCCCCAATATGAACCTGCTGTATGATTGTCAGTGTGTCCCCAACCAACCTCTCCTCTGAACTCCAGACTGTATAGCGGACTTTCTAGCTGACACTTTCATTTGGGTGTCTAAAAGGTCAAGGGCAAGGAACTCTTCATTTCTACTCCCAAGTTGGCTCCTCCCCCAGGTTTCCCCATCCCAGCTCAGGACGTCTCCAGCCATCCAGTCTCCCAGAGCCAGTGCCCATCAGCTCGCTCCAGGCCATTTTCACTTCTCGCTATTGCAGTACTACGGTACTAGTACTGCGGTGCTGATACCGCAGTACTGGGGTACGGATGCTGCTGGGGGTACTAATGCACTGTGGTACTATTTCAGCAGGGTCCTGACCAGTCTTCCCATTTCCATCCTTTGTCCTGGGCCTCTATCCCCAGCCTATTCTGTATGAGGAAGCCAAAGTGGTTTTTTAAAACCATAGCTCAGATCATATCATGCTTAAAGCCGTCCCGTGATGTCTCATTGTTTTAGAATGAAGTCCGGCCTTTTTGTAAGTCCCCACGTGATAGGTCCCTGCCTGCCTCAGTTGTTATCGTGTGCCCATCCCCTTGTATCTTCCGCGAGGCCATCAGACTTACTGCTTCCCCAGTCAGTCGGGCTACTCAGTCACTCCCTCTTTCACTGCACTTTCTTTAACCTCAGGTACAGAGGGTTGAGTGGATTATAATCTTCAATCCATGATGATTGTAATTTGTCATTTGGAGTTATATGATAATCCAGTTGTAATCCATCTTTTGTCCTTTATTCCCTCCTTAAATTTCTTTAAAAAACTTATTGATGAGGGAGGGAGGGAAGGAGGGAAAAAAGAGAGAGAGGAAGGGAGAGAAACAGTGATTTGTTGTAGCACTTACTTATGCGGTCACTGGTTGCTTCTTGCACGTGCCCAGGCCGGGGATCGGGCCTGCTACCTCGGCGTATTGGGACGATGCTCTAACCAACTGAGCTACGTGGTCAGGGGTCCGCCTTGAATTTCTATAAATTAACTTGGGGAGGATAAACATCTTTCTCCTATTTCATTCTAAACAAGAGTGTGGAATGTCTCTCCACTTACTGAAATAATTCTCATGATCTTAAAAGAGTTTCAGTAACTTCCTCCGTGAAAGTCTTTGGCGTCTTATTTTAATTTCCCAGTAGGGTCTAGCTTTTGGTGTTACCTTGAATGGTAGCTTAATTTTCAGAGTTTTTCTAGGTTATTTCTCTATTTTATTGCTTGTCAGTTATGACTTGATATTTTGGTGATTGGATTTTGTATCCAGCACCCTTGAGGGGCTCTCATTAGTTTCAATTGCTGGCTGTTTTATTGGTTTATCTAAGTAGATGATCGTATTCTCTCCAAATAATAACATTCGAAACACTTCTCTAAAGTTTTAAAACAGATTTATTGATTTATTTATTTTTAGAGAGTGGGCGGAAGGGAGGGAGAAAGAGAGGGAGAGAAACGTTGATGTTTGAGAGAAACAAGTGGTTGCCTCTCGTGCATCCCCAACTGGGGACCTGGCCCGCGACCCAGGCAGGTGCCCTGACTGGGAATCAACCGGCCATGCTTTGGTTCACAGGCCGGCGCCCAGTCCACTGAGCCACACCAGCTGGGGCTGAACATTTTTAATTTCCTTTCCTTTCCCAGCAGAGCAGTACTGGCCAGAAGCTGTGGTGCTGTGTCAGACAGTCGTGTCTGCGGTTGAGGAGAATGCATAGACCATTTCCCACTGTGTGCGTGTTTGCGTGGGTGCTCAGGTGCTCTGCCCACCTCTCCGGCGCCCCGCTTTCCCTTGGACGGGTGGCCTTGTTTTCCCTTCCTCTTATTCTAGCTCTGTGGTGTTTTAAAGGATATTTAAAAATACCTTATACTTTTGGGGAGTTGTTGTTTTCAGTGTTCTTTTGTTATTTGCATGGAAATAGAAGTTCTTTTCTATTTGATTTCCAGAAGTTTCTAAAATAAAGGCTGGATACAAATCCTTGAAAATATCTTCTTTTACTCCGTTCACCTTATTTATAGTGACACAGATGGGCAGAAAGAAAAAAAAATTCTAAGTAGAAAAATTTATCAGTGTTCCTTTTTTGGCTAGCCCTTTTTATGTGTTCAGAAATCCACCCCTCCGCAGCAGGAATTAATTTTCGCTCCAGGTTGAAATGCGGATTGCATCGTGTGTGTCTCCCATGTGAGCGAGTAGGTGCCCTGGCACTGTTTCCTGACTGCTCCGGGCTTCATCCGGTCCTGCGCCGCCTCTGCGGGAAGCTCCGGTGTGTGGGTCTCTCCCCAGGCTTGCTGTTCTTTTCTGCTGGCCAGTTTGTTGTTTCCTGCTCCCTCATCCACTGTTTTAGTTACTATAATTTTATCACTACAGTATTTTTTATAATATGAGTTTATAATATGTCTTGATTTCTGGCAGGGCCAGTCCTTCTGTCTCATTCTTTGTAAAAGAGTGCCTTAGTTTTATACTTGCCCCACGGCGCTTTCATATACATTGTAGAATTTCCTCACTGATTTCTTGAAAATATCCGTTGAGATTTTTGTAAGAATTGCATTGACTTTATAAATCAATATTGGAGTCATTGATGTTTTTAGAGCATCTCATGCCAAGTGTGAGTTGACAGACTGTGAGATTTCCTGCCATGGGCATAGTGCATTTAAGTTTTCTTTAATACCTTTCAGTATAATTAAAAATATTTTCTCGGTACAGGAATTCTTCTTCTTCTTCTTCTTATTATTAATTTTAATTATTGTTCAAGTACAGTTATCTGTCTTTTACTCCCACCCCAGCGCACCCCCCAGTGCTCCCCACCTCCCTCCCATTTCCACCCCCCTTAGTTTTTGTCCATGTGCCCTTTATACTTGTTCCTGTAAACCCTTATCCTTTTCCCCTGAAATTTCCTCCCCTCTCCCCTCTGGTCACTGTCAGCCTGTTCTCTATTTCAGTGTCTTTGGTTGTATTTTGCTTGCTTGTTTGTTTTGTTGTTTAGGTTCCTGTTAAAGGTGAGATTGTATGGTATTTGTCTTTCACCACCTGGCTTATTTCACTCAGCATAATGCTTTCCAGTTCCATCCATGCTGTTGCAAAGGGTAGGAGCTCCTTCTTTCTTTCTGCTGCATAGAATTCCATTGTGTAAATGTACCATTGTTTTTTGACCCATTCATTTACTGCTGGGCACCCAGGTTGCTTCCAGCACTTGGCTATTGTGAATTGTGCTGCTGTGAACATTGGGGTGCATAGGTTCTTTTGGATTGGTGCTTCAGGGCTCTTAGGGTATAATCCCAGCAGTGGAATTGCTGGGTTAAAAGGAAGATCCATTTTTAGTTTTCTGAGAGAATTCCATACTATTTTCCATAGTGGTTGTACTAGTCTGCAATCCCACCAACAGTGAACTAGGGTTCCCTTTTCTCCACAACCTCTCCAATACTTGTTGTTTGTTGCTTTGTTTATGATGGCCATTCTGACTGGTGTAAAGTGGTATCTCATTGTGGTTATAATTTGCATCTCTCTGATAGGTAGCGATATTGAGCATCTTTTCATGTGTCTCTGGATCCTCTGTATGTCCTCCCTGGAGAAGTGTCTGTTCAAGTCCTTTGCCTGCTTTTTAATTGGGTTGCTTGTCTTCTTAGAGTGGAGTCGTGTAAGTTATTTGTATATTTTGGAGATTAAACCCTTGTCTGAGGTATCATTGGCAAATATCTTTTCCCATACAGTTGGTTCTCTTTTTATATTAATACTGTTTTCTTTAGCTGTGCAGAGCTTTTTATTTTGATGAGATCCTATTTGTTTATTTCTTCCTTTTATTTTATTTTATTTTATTTATTTATCTTGAGAGGGGAAGGGTTAGGGAGAGAACCATCAGTGTATGGTTGCCTCTCATGCATCCCCTGCTGGGAACTGGCCTGCAACCCAGGCATGTACCCCGACTGGGAATCAAACCCTGATCCTTTGGTTTGCAGGCCCGAGCTCAATCCACTGAGCTATACCAGCCAGGGCTATTCTTTCCTTTATGTCCCTTGCTCTAGGGGACATATCAGTAAAATTGTTGCTGCGTGAAATATCTGAGATTTTCCTGCCAATGTTCTCCTCTAGGACTTTAATGGTTTCATGGCTTATATTTAAGTCTTCTATCCACCTTGAATTTATTTTGGTGTATGGTGTCAGTTGGTGCTCGAGTTTCATTTTTTTGCACATAGCTGTCTAGTTCTCCCAACACCATTTGTTGAAGAGGCTATTTTTACTCCATTTTATGTTGCTGCCCCCTTTGTCGAATATTAATTGACCATAGAGATTTGGGTTTATTTCTGGGCTCTCTGTTCTGTTCCATTGGTCTATGTGCCTGTTTTTATGCCAGTACCAGGCTGTTTTGATTACAGTGGCCTTGTAATACAGTTTGATATCAGGTATTGTGATCCCTCCTACTTTGTTCTTCTTTCTCAAAAGTGCAGCTGCTCTTCCGGGTCATTTATGATTCCATTGATATAGGAATTCTTAAAAAGTTAAACTTTCTAATTTTTACCAGAGTAGAAAATGCAATTGATTCTTTTATTTATTGGCCTTGTAGCCAGCTGCCTTTAAAAGTTTTATTATGTATAACAATTTTAGGTCTTTACATAGATAATTGTATCCTTGATAAATAGTGAGTTTGATTTTTCTTCCTAGTCTTATTTTTATTTGTTGTTTTATAGTTAATTTTTAAAAATCCTCACTTGAGGATATATTTATGGATTTTAGAGAAAGAAGGAAAGGGGGGGAGAGAGACACTGGGACGACGCTGCAGCCACTGAACCACCCGGCCAGGGCTGTTATCTGTCATTCTTGCCCAAAGCACCAGCATCCCCGGCATAATGCAGAAGAGAGGAGGGGTCTAGGCCTGTCCCTCTGGCCCAGGTTGAAAAGGAATTCTTCATCTTCACCAAGCCCTTATTACATGACATGTGAAGGGGACTTACCTAGGAAAAAGAAGATAAAAAAGACGAACAGTGAAAGGACAGCAAACTCTCAGTTATTAAGAACCACACCTAAAACAAAAGCAAACTAAGAGGACAGCTAGATCAGGAGCAAAAGCATAGAAATGAAGATCACATGGAGGGTTAGCAACAGGGGAGTGGGAGAAGGAGAAGGGAGGAGAAGGTACAGAAAATAAGTAGCATAGATAGTGGGGGGAAAATAGACAGGGGGAGGGCAAGAATAGTATGGGAAATGTAGAATTTAAAGAACTTGTGATACATGGACATAAACAAAAGGGGAGTGGTGGGGGAGGGGTGTGCAGGGTGGAGGGGAATGAAGGTCGGGGGAAATGGGACAACTGTAATGGCATAATAATAAAATATATTAAAAAATAAAGTAACAAGGAAACTTAAAAAAAAAGGAATACTTCTGATGTTTCACCGTTAAGAATAACATTTACTTTGGGTTTTTGGTAGACGTTCCATATCAAGTTAAAATTCCCTTTATTACTCTTTTCTTAAAGCTGTTTTTTTTTAATGGATGCTAATTTTTGTTAAGGATTTTTCTGCTTTTACTTTAATGACAATCTATTACTGTGGTGAGGTTAACACGCGACCACCTTCGCTTTCCTGAGACGAATGCCCCTTGGTCGGATGTGTTATCACTTTCAGACATCGCTGGATTCACTGAGACGTGTTTTGTGTGGGGTTTTTATATACATCTGTGCGTGACGCTGGCCTGGCGTCTTTAGTTCCCAGCTGTCTTCCTTCGGGTTTGGTCTCAACTGCCCTCCTTCAGTGAATTTGACATAATTCCCTCTCTTTCTCTTTTTTGGAGAATCGTCTTGAAAATATTGGAAGATTTGTTTCTTAAAGGTGTGGCTGAACTCACTCGGATTATTATTTTTAAAAGATTTTGTCTACTTATTTTTTAGAGAGACGGCAAGGGAGGGAATGTGAATGCCGGTCATACAGCTCCCAGGGCCGGAAGCTCAGGGCTCCTGGGGGTAGCTGAGCTCAGAGTTCTGGGAAGGGAAGGGAAGCACTTGCCAGTTTGAGGGGCAGCTGGGCCTTCCCTAGAGAGGCGGGGAGCCCTCCGAGCCTCCAGAGTGCCCGTGTATTTCACCACTTGCTGGGGAAGACCCCCCTAACCCCAGTCTGCCCTGTTTTCTCAGGCTGCTTCTGTCCATCAGCTTGTCTGCCTCCTACCTGACTGAGGATGGACCCACCGCAGCGGCACGAGGCAGAGGAGCAGGTGGCGAGCAGCAGGGTGGCGATGTAGCAGCTGCAACATTGAAGGCTGGGCCACGCTCATGGTCAGGCTCTTCCTCAGATGCATCTGAAGCAGCTGCTTGGGTAGAGAGGGCCTAGGCCTGGGTCTCCCGAGCAATTCCTCCTTCCAACCCCTGTCCTGGGAGGCACAGGTTCTCAGGGGAGGCAGGCAGAGCCCTGGTGGGGTGTCACACGCGGTCCCAGGGCTCTCACCTCCATACTCAGCTTGGCTCCCTCTTCCTGTTTCCCGTTGATCTGGGCCACTCTCCGTAGGGCCCTCAGGGAGAGGTCCAGCCTCCCCGAGGAGGAGCGCCAGAGGGCTGACTCGAAGAAGGACCTGTGGGTGGAGGGCAGGGGCGGGGATGACTTCTGCCTGGGTTGACGGAGTTGTGGCCGCCTGTGAAGGGCGCAGACCAGAGGAGGAAGACACCTTGGAGGCATAGAAAGAATTCTGGGCTGGGAGTTAGGACCCCTGCGTTCTCCTCCAAGGATTGCCACTGTCCTCATGGGACACGTGGGATGACAAGTCCTACCTTCTCTGGCCACGTTCTTCCCTCTTACCAAACTGAGCCTTGGTTCTTTCTGCTTTGACCTGCGGTACTAGGAGGGAAGGCAGGTAGGGCGTGGTCCCGGATGCCCTGCCCACCTGTGATTCATTGTGAACCCTCTGCCCTGCCAGAGGCCCCACACACCTGGAATAGATGAAGGTGACAAAGAAGGGCGGAGACCAACAGCTGCAGGTGGCTCCCGTAGAGCATGGCATAAGCCATGCCAGCTGCAGAATAACCCGAATGAGAAGCCCAGAACTGGGCAGGTGTGGATGTGCAGCCACTCCAAGCCTGGGGAGAAGAGCAGAGCTCAGGCCAAAGTCAGGGGCATGTGAGTACATGTGTATGTGAGGGTTACTAGTCATTTCCAGGTGGACAAGGACCCTTACATCAGAGCAGAAAGGCTCCTCCTCTGAGCTCAGTCCTTCTCTGAATCTCTGCCCTGTGCCCCGCCCCCCCGACCCACCGAGGGTAAGGCAAGGGTGGTTTGATCACCAGCAGTGTTCAGTGTGTGTGTGGAGCAAGGAGCAGGCTGGAGGGCTCTGAATTCCCAGGGGTGCTCCTATTTCACAGAATCCGGCTCCCACATTTGTATTGCCTGGCTTCTCCCAAACATTCTTTGCTTTGCCTGTGGTCACTCCACCTGCACTTCCTCCAACTCATTTTAATCCAACAAACATTTAGGGGCGGCAACTCTGTGCCATGACCTTTGCTTGGCCTGGGGAATCCTTAACTCCTTGGAAGACTCCCCAGTAGACCGCCAACTCAGAGTTCGTGGGTAGTGACCACTAGTTCACTCCTGTGTCCCCAGCACAGTGTCTGACACAAACTAGGTGCCTCTTAAAAATGTGTTAAATAAGTGAATGATGGATCAAAGGCTCCCAGTCTGACTTCTCTGTGTAACCCCACCCCCCAATCTCTATCAAGTGTTTACTCAGTTCATCCTTTCAGCGATCCCCAAATATCTGGGAGGCATTCCAGCTTCCAAAGGTGAGAGCCACCAAAGAGGTCACCATCTTCATTTCTTTCTTCCCTTGGTCCTGCCTACCCCAAGGGAGGCCTTGGTAGGTAGGGATGCAGGGACAGGTGGACATGGCTTTGTACTCAGGGAAGGAGCTGAGGTCTGAGTTGGTTTGGTCCCCTGCTCCACCGAAACCCTGTGATTCAAGGGTCCCCAGCCCTCCCAGGGCCCCTCTCACTAGGTGTCAGGGAGTTGGTGGTGAGGCCACTCATAGCCACGCTTGAAGGGAAGTGGCGAGCGTGGTAGGCTGTGACATTGGGTGTGAAGGCAGTGCAGGCCCCTGACCTCTCGAACTGCAGGTAGCTGCAGGTCAGCACCTCCCGGCGGCCCATCCTGTGGGGAGAGGGGAAACCTGGGTTCGAAGAGCACATTGCTTCCTCCCTGCCCAGTGTCCTTGGCTGTCTCACCCTGGGTGCCCTGGGCCATCTAATAGGTTTTTTTGCAAGGCTGCCCACGTGTGACCATGAGGTAGGTGCTGAAATGAGAGGTGGTGGGTAATAAGGCAAAGACTGGCACCTGGTGCCCTTGAGCTAGGCCCAGGCTTGGGCTGCCGCTGTCCAGGGTCCTGACACATCGGCACAGGGATGGAGGGGCCCAAACACTCTCCTCGGAATCTCAGGGGTGTGTGAAAACTGCTCAGATGCCTGCATCCGACTCAAGTCCTGTTGATTATCTGGAAGGTAAGCTAGAAACAAGATTTTTAGCAAGCTCCTAAGATTTGGGGGCTGCTGCTCTGGGATGTGGTGGACTCTTTGACGGCCGTTTGAGGATGATCCCTGACAGACCTCTGCTAGGAGACAGTCTTTTGTAATTTTAGAAAATTGAGGCATAGTTGACATGAAACATTATATTATTTTCAGGTGTACACCACAGGGATTCCATAGTTGTATATACTGCAAAATGATCACATAATGGGTGTACTTGGTATCTGTTACTTTGCATAGTTACAAAAATTTTTTTCTTGTGATGAGAGATTTTTAAAGATCTACTCTGTTAGCAACTTTCAAGTATGCAATTCACTATGAATCACTGTCGTCGCCATGTTGTCCATCACATCCCATGACTCATTTGTTCTGTGACTGGGGATTTGTGCCTTTTGACCCCCTTCTCCCATTTGGCCAGCCCTTGGTCCTCTGCCTCTGGCAACTGCCTATGTGTTCTCTGTATCTGTGAGTTTGGTTTATAGAGTTATTTTGAGGAGCCTATGCAAAGTTGTTGCTTTTGCAAAATGGATCTAACTGTGGCTTATATTTTGTGAAGAATAAAGCTGATTTTGTGTACCTTTGAACTGCTACGACATTTCTAATATTTGGAGATTTTATTCTCTAGAAAATTGCCTCCTGTTATCCACTCCAGGATCTGTTTATGGTTGTTGGCCTGCAAGATAGTCGAGGTTAGGGTGATCCCCACTGAGTTCTGGGTACTAATGTAACCTTCACTGTAACCTTCTGGGGTTAGGATCATCACCCTCATTTCATAGAGGAAGAATCAGATCAGTCAGAGAGAGGCCGCACAGCCCTCCCACGGACACACAGTTGGTGGTGGAGCTGAGCCTTGCTCCGCACTCTCACTGACCACTAGGTCTGTGTTTCCGTGACACTCCTAGGTTACACACAAGGCAGAAGGGGCACCAAGGGACTTCTTGAGGGTATCAGAAAAGCTGGATTCCTCTCCTGCTTTTGCTACTTATGAGTTGTGTTGACTGTACCTCTATTTATTTTATTTAAAGATTTTATTTATTTATTTTTAGAGAGAGGGGATGGGAGGAAGAGAAACATCAATGTGTGGTTGCCTCTCACTCATCCCCTAATGTGGACCCAGCCCACAACCCAGGCATGCGCCCTGACTGGGAATTGAACCAGCAACCCTTTGGTTCGTAGCCCACGCTCAATCCACTGAGCTGCACCAGCCAGGGCCTTGTGACTGTACCTTTAAAAAATTATCTACTTTTATGGCCCTGGCTGGCGTAGCTCAGTGGATTGAGCATGGGTCTGTGAACCGTAGTATCACGGTTCGATTCCCAGTCAGGGCACATGCCTGCGTTGTAGGCCAGTTCCCAGCAGGGGACGCATAAGAGGCAACCATACATTGATATTTCTCTCCCACTCTTTCTCCTTCTCTGCCCCTCTCTTGAAACATAAATAAATAAAATATTAAAAAATTATCTACTTTTATAAAATGATAAAGGTAATGAATTGTTATAGAAGTTCAAACATATAGAAATGCAGAGTGAAAAGTTCTCTCCTTTCCAGTTCCACTCCTCAGAAGTAACAACTGATAACTTTTTGTTTTTAGTCCTTCTCAGCATTTTGGGCAAGTTATTTAATGTCCTTCAACCTGTGTCCTTATTGGTAAAACACAGATAATAGCACCACCCTTGCCAGCTTCACAAGGCCGTTTCGAGGAGTAACTGAAAGGAAGTTAGGTGCAGGAAGTGCTGATGGGCTCCTCTAGGCTTTCCAGATGTCATCACACTAGAGTGGATCAGTCATGTGTCCCTCCCTGGGTTTTCAGGGTTGCCAGTCCCCCCCGTGTCCAGCCTAGAGGGCCTATGCCTTTGCTCCTTGACCCAGCTTTGTCCACCACTGACCTGTCTACCAAGTTCCCAAACATCAAGCGTCCAAACAGCATCCCTGCCATGAAAATGAGTGGGCTCAGCTGGGGCAAGTTCCGGTGTGTGCACACGAGGTCCCACTTTGAGGAAGGCAGATCTGGGGTCCTGAAGAGCTTGGCTGGTCCTCGGGAAGCCCTGCTCCCCCTCTCCTGGTGGGGCTGAGGGTCCTGATTTCAGGCCTGCATGTAAGGAGCGCCTCTCTCCCCGCACCAGGCAGTCTTTCTCATCACGTTATTTCAAATCCCGTGAGAGGGACCTTTCATGGCGCCTGCTTAGACACTTCCTATTCCTCTGAGCACTGACCCCTCAATCTCCTTCAGGGCTCCCAAAGCCATTCCTCCTTGGAACACCTGAAGAAACCTGGCTGTGGAGCTGGCTTGAGCTAATCAGAATCTTTTGATTATTAATTTGGAAATGTGACTCAGAGAAGCGAGATTTGTCAGGACACCTGAAGTTGGGATGGGATGGCCAAGCTTTGGAACAATATAGAAATGGAGCCGAGAAAACATGAGAGAAAGTGTTAGAGGTAGAGATAGACAGAGTGTGAGAAACATGGAAGAAAGGGGGAGGAGGAGGAGGAAGGAGAATGAAGTAATGGAGTCAGAGGGAGGTCTGGGGGGAGCCCAGTCAGCACCAGAGAAGCAGAGAGGAGGGAGTCCAGCTTTCAGTCCCTTCCAGCTCCCTGGTCCCAGACCCTCATGAGGCTGGGCCCACAATTTTTTTCCCACTTTTATTTGTTTTTTATTTTTTATTGTTGTTCGAGTACAGTTGTCTCCATTTCTCCCCCACCCCAGCCATCCCCACCTCCTACCCTCGATTCTACCCCACTTTGGCTTTTTCCATGTGTCATTTACACATGGTCCTTGACAACCTTTCCCCCAACCCTCCCCATTATCCCCTCCCGCTTCCCCTCTGGTTACTGTCAGTTTGTTCTTAATTCCAATGTCTCTGGTTATATTTTGCCTGCTTTTTTTTGTTGTTGTTGATTAAGTCCCACTTACGGGGGAGATCATATGGTATTTGTCTTTCACTGCCTGGCTTATTTCACTTAGCATAATGCTCTCCAGATCCATCCATGCTGTCGCAAATGGTAGGAGCTCCTTCTTTCTTTCTACTATGTAGAATTCCATTGTGTGATTGTACCAAAGTTTTTTGATCCATTTATTTGCTGTCGCAAATGGTAGGAGCTCCTTCTTTCTTTCTGCTATGTAGAATTCCATTGTGATAGTTTTCTGATCCATTTATTTACTGGTGGGCACTTAGGTTGCTTCCAGCACTTGGCTATTGTAAATTGTGCTGCTATAAACATTGGGGTGCATAGGTTCTTTTGAATTGTTTTTTTTAGGGTTCTTAGGATATAATCCCAGCAGTGGAATCGCCAGGTCAAAAGGCAGTTCTGTTTTTAGTTTTCTGAGGAAATTCCATGCTGTTTTCCACGGTGGCTGTACCAGTCTGCGTTCCCACCAACAGTGCACTAGGGTTCCCTTTTCTCCACAACCTTTCCAGCACTCGTTTGTGGATGTGGTTATGATATCCTTTCTGATGGTGTGAAATGGTATCTCATTGTGGTTTGAATTTGCATCTCTTGGATGGCTAGTGATGCTGAGTATCCTTTCATATGACTCTGTGGGCCCATGTTCTTGACCTTGAGTTCTATGAAATACCCTTCCATTGACTTTCCATACATACATTTGAGAGAGTTGTGGTTATTTGCAGCTTTCAAATAAGCACCAATTAGATAGTACAACTGATAGTTTACATTTTGTGGCTGTTTTAATTAACATAAGGAAAAAGCCCATCATTTTTAAAGCCCTTCCCCTCTAGATGGATCAGAATAGCTCTACAGCCTGTAGGAAGCCACCCTGCTGATGGACGTGCCATTAAGATTGAGTCTAAATGATCAATAGATATGCCACTTTCTTTACAATTAGGAGCAATTTTTTATACTTTTGAACTGTCAAAGTGGATTTTTAAACTGTCATTTTTTTTGTTCATCAAAAAAAAGATAAGAAAAGAAAGGGGCTCGCATGACCAAGGCAACTATGGACCACCCCTGATGTGTGTTCATGGATACTCAAGTGAGTTCATCTGTCAGGTGTGGTTACTTGATGGTCTTGATTTGGTTGGGGAGAAATCCTTATTTCTGAATACACTTATTATTGTAGGACCTTGACTATTCTGTGGATGCACATATCACACGATGTAAAATTTGTGATATCGGCATTCAAGCACTTTTTCCCAAAGAATGATGGACTTTATTGCTGTTTTATTCAAACAGCTGTTCTCCTGTAATTCTATGCATTGTCTAATATGGCTTTTTATTTGGAATGGATTCTGGGGCTGTGTCAGGCTGAGAATTCATGGTCATGGTACTCTGCTGGAAACGGGTGACTAGAATGTGCCTGTGGAGGTGGGCGCGAGAAAGGCTGTGGCGAGTGAGTTAAGGATATTGTAGACTGGAACGGAGAGATGGAAGGATAAGGGGCAAGAGGGTGTGGGGAAGAGGTGAGGAGTCCGAGGGGTGCAAAGGGGAAGGCCTTCTGTGCAGTCTCGTGATGAGGTCTGTCATAGTCCAGATTAGAGACGGACCAGTGACTCTGAGTACAGACTCAGAGTACAGACTCTGAGTACAGAGTCTCTCTGCCTGTGGTCTGCTGGAAGGTCTCGTCACCAGCAAAAGCAAAGGTTGCTTGGGGCTTACACCACCATCTGTGTTCTCTTCACATGCACCTGGAACCCCTGAGGATTAAATATTTCTGTGTGCTCCTGGGCCTCTTTTTTTTTTTTTTTTAAATCGTCACCTGGGGACATTCTTTCATTGCTTTTTAGAGAAAGGGGAAGGGAGAGAGAGAAACATCGATTTATTGCCTCCTGTATACACTCACACTGGGGATTGAGTCTGCAAAGGAAGTATGTGCCCTGACCGGGAATCAAACCCACAACCGAAAGCGACAGTGCTCCAACCAACTGAGCCACACTGGCCAGGGTGCTCCTGGGCCTCTTGTATAGAGATGTACTTTATTGCAAACAGAAATCAAAGTCTAGAAATAGGCTTTGAGGCAGACTCAGAGAATCGCTGCCTAAGACAGCTCTGAACGGCTAATTGGATGAAGGCTACGATAAACGACAGATGCTTTGAGACTGGCTTCGGGGGAAGGAAAAGGAGAAAAAGCACAGAAAGCAGAGAGGTGAAATGGCAGCTCTTAATCATCTGCAGAACAGGAAGGAAGAGGAGATTCGGGCTGCCTCATTCATAATAACCCACGCCCTCCCTGCCCTGTAGTCCTTGGACCGAGGGGTAGGCACGTGACCCAAGCCGGCCAATCAGCCACGCCTAGAATTTTTCAAATTTGGAGCTGGGAGACAGAAACCTTTCTCTCTGGTGAAGAAGTTATTTGGAGTGAGCCCAGAATGATCTGTGGCCACCTTGTGAAGGACCATGCACATTGTGGACATGCCTAGCATGCAAAGAAAAGCAGAGGTGAGACCCAGCAGGGGTCCTGATTACATCCATGGTTCTGGTGCCCGCAGTCCCTAGAGCCATTTCTGCCTCTGCCCCTCTGGTGGTTTGGGTATAGGAGCCTTTATACACTCTTTCTGTGCTCAAATTAGCTTGAGTTGAATTATAGTCACTTGCAAATAAGAGTCTTGACTAATATGGTACAGATGGAAGCTGCTACTTGTTGCTCAGGATATTTTAGTCCAGAAGAAAATAAGGAGAAGTGCTCAGGCAGGGTTTTTATTATAATCCACAGCCAGCCTCTTTTTCTTATATTTATTGATGTTTTGCTTTGAGTCAGAGTGCTGAAGTAACCCTATGGATATCGGGTCATTTTCCTTCTAAGGGGCAAGCTGGGACTTTTCTTTCTCAGGTGACCTGTGCCATTGTGCCTGGGTAGGGTGTCTTTAATGTGATTAAGTGTCTTGCCTAAGCAGCCCCTGTTGACTTGTGAGTTGTTTCATTTGCTCACAACTCAGACGATCCAGCCTCACATTGGGTCATGCATGTGAGCTGCCTGTTACCTGAATGAATTGTTCTCTGGTGCAAGTATAGGCTTTGACATTATTGGTTCAAGGAAGAGGTCATCTGGCTGTGCTTGTAAAATAGGCCTGTTAGTGTCCCAGGCCTGTGTGCGGCAGCGGATGATGGTCCCATCCACGGTGTCTATTAGAAGAATATTGGATTATTCTTGGCATCTCCATACATCTCGGGGAGTGGCCTACCTGTGCATCTGGCCTTGTCAGTCATTGAAACCAAAAGTGATGAGATTACTTTCAAGTCTTTCTTTAGAAGAAGATCCAAGGTGTTTGTGTACCCAGATTTTTAGCTCTAGATGGCAAGAGATCTGAGCTTTTGGATCAAACTGCCTGCTGTTTGAACAGAAGAGCAAGAACCGGGTTGCTATTTCCTGGAATACTGTTGACCTTGGAAAGCAGAGTGTAAATTTTTAAGAAGGGAAATGGGGAAGCAGATCTGGAAGGACTGGTAAGATCCAAAGTTCGGGTATGTGGATTCAGATGTCTCAGAACTTGGGCTGGGGCTGGATAGCGATGAAGAAAATCCCCCACACCGGGCATGCATTTGTACGTGCGTGTCTCCACAGCAGGAAGACTAACCATATTGAGTCACCTTCAGCGTCTGTCTTGGGTGTCTCTGGTGGGAGAGGGCTTCACTCTGGTCAGTTTCAGACAGGGGCTGCATCAGGCAAGTTGGAGGACTATGCCTGACCACAGTCCCTACTCAGGGCATCTTCTCAGTACAGCCCTGGCTGGTGGGCAAGGGGGTTACATGATCCCACTATGCTGCCCCTTGGTGCGATGATTAGATGATCAGGGACATCTGAGCCAGTTGTGGGAGGGGACGAGCCCATCATTGTGTTATGCTGAGCCAGTCAGAGGCTTTTCTGAAAGTTTGATTTAAGACACATAGAAACATTCTGGTTGTTGGCAGACCCTAAATCTGAGATGTCATGGATCAGGGCGGGGATAGGTGGTCCTCTGGCAAGGTGGGCACACAGATGAGATGGGCTGAGAGGAGATAGGAACAGAGTGAGTGTGTAGAGATGCCTCTTGTGTTCCAGTTTCTGGTTCCAGTTTCCACGAGGCCTGGACACACTCCATTTCCTGTCCTTAGGTTTCTTGAAATCTCTGTAGTCGTGCGGTGATCCACCCCGCACTTTCCCACGAGCGGACTGGGGAGAGCTTCTCTTTTTCAAAACCAAAAGGCCATTAACTAGAACAGATGCTAAGAACATGGTTATTGTGACAGGTACAAAGCACAGAATTCAGCTGAATGAACCACTCTGCAGTCTGGGGTGACCCTACCAATGCATGTGTGTGTTTTGGGGAAAAGGGGTATTCAATTCCTAGAGATGAAAGAACCTCTATAACCTGTTCTCCTTCCTGTTTTTTTTTCCCCCTTGGTTGCTCACCATCTCCTGGCCCCTGCTGCTGAGAGCTCTTTCTAGATGAAGTCAGAGGCTGTTTTTGTCTCCGGGACTCTGAGCCCAGAATCCGTCGTGTTCAGGAATACCCCGTAACTCCCAGCCACCTGCCTGTCTTCTTTCCCCCTCCCTCTGTACCACCTCCCCAGTTCCCTACCCCAGGAAAACCGAAAGGAACAGTGTCTCTCTCTGGTGGGGGTGAAAGGGCAGAGAGCGCCTTTCTGCAAGGACTTGTACGTCTCTTCTACCAGGAAGCCTCCAAACTCTGGCCACTGTTCTCTTGCATTTGGGACAAAACTCTTCACAGCTCCAGGCTCTTCCCACATTGAGACATACTCAGGTCAGGGTCACCTGGTCTGTTTGATAAGGTGGTAAGATGGGGATGCAGGGATTGGGAGGGGCGAGGCAGGGCCCCAGGCATCCTCACCTCGGTCACGGTGGTGGAAGGGAAGGTGCTGTTGCTGTAGATCCAGCCACTGGTGCAGGGCTCTGTGGTCACTGCACCCTTGGCCTCTGTGCCATTGGGAAAGGGCGGTCCCCGTTGTGGGGAGGTGAAGTGGAGGCAGGACTTGGGCCATCCCCGCCCATCCAGGGGCAGCCAGGCCTCCAGCTCCCCATTCATCACTGAGGTTGGCATTGGCAGGCAGATGGCAGTGGTGGGTGAGGATGGTGATGGCGAAGTTCTATAGGGTGATGTGGGAGGTCAGCAGGAGCAGGGGGAGGAAGAGCAAAGTCACCTGGATCTGCTGGAAGCGGCCGATGCCCCCCAACGGCTGCAGGAGGTCATTGAAGGCCACGAGGCAGGACCACTGGACCTGAGGCCTCCCGCTCCCCACGCCATTCCTGTCTTTGGGTGCGGGGGCGGGGTGCGGGTGGAAGCTAAGGACTGCCCTTTGTCTCCACCTCATCAGTTCCCGGTCTGCTGTGGTCCTGGGCCTCCTGATGGCCAGTAGTAGTTTCTGTAACTTTTTTTTAAAGGAATCAAGTTAAACTACAACTCGAGAGTAAGACATTCAATTATTAAGACTCACTGCATTAATGGTTTCTTCAAGGGAATCTAAGGACACGTCAGATCTAAGGAGGGTCACTGACGATGCCCCACAGTCTGGCAGTTTCAGCCTCCCGACTAGGCCAGAACAGGTGGCCTCCTCCTTGGAGAAGAAGAGAAAAATGCTAAGGTCAGGAAGGAAGGCCAGATCGCTGTCATTAAAATAAAAAGGCAAGTTTCAAAAGTCACCGCTATAAAAATAAAAAGCCCAGCTCTGAATTCGAGTAAACTATTTATGAATTTGGCTGAAACTATTCGGCCAAACACACATCTGGCCTAGGACTTGTTTCTAGAATACATAAAAAAAAAAAAGCGCTCCCAATTCAATCCTAAGATATCAAACAATCAAATTTGAAAACATGCAAACTTTCTGAATACTTTACCAAAGAACAGCTCTAGTTGGAAATAAGCACATGAAAAGTTGCTCAGCATCATTAGTCATTAGGAAACTGCAAATGAAAACTACAGTAAGTCACCACATTTACTACAATGGCTAAAGTTTAAGGAATTGATTGTACCAGGTATAGGCAGAGATGTGTAGCAACTGGGACTCTCAGATACTGCTGGTGGGAATGGAAAATGTTACAACCACTTTGGAATATTGCTTGATTATTTCTTAAAAAGTTAAACATACACCTTACATATGACTCAGCAATTCCACTCTTTATATTTGCTTAAGTCCTGCCTGACATGGCTCAGCTGGTTGGATGTTGTCCCACAAGAGGAAAGGTCACTGGTTTCACTCCTGGTCAGAGCATGTGCCTGGGTTGCAGGCCTGGTCCCTGGTTGGGGGGGCGTACAAGGGGCAACAGATTAATGTTTCTGTCTTTCATTGATGTTTCTCTCCCTCTCTTTCCTGCTCTCTAAAAATAAATAAATAAAATCTTAAAAAAGAAAGAAATAGAAGCAGCCCATGTCTACACAAAGAAGGGGCATGAAGAACCTCGCAGTGGGAATGAATAAATTCCTTGTCTTGTTTGTGGGGGAGATGGCTTCACGGATATGCATCTGTCAAAACTCATCCAAATGTACACGGTGAATATGGACAACTAATTATTTATTGTATTACAATGAAACTGTAGAGTAAATTAGTTAACATGTTTTTGGCTGCAGATCACAGAAAAACCACAATGACTTAAGGAAGAAGGAGGATTTAAATTTGAATTCCCCAAATTAACAATTAGTGGCAGGTGGCTGCGGCCCCATTAAATCAGGAGCTCCGTGACATCATCCAACTGCAGGCTAGTGCCATCTTCCCGCGGTTAATCTCAGTCGTTGCCTTAGTTCTTGCTCTGTTGGGTCACCAGGCAGCTACCGCAGTTCCAGATGTCCCAGCAGACTCAACACCGTCTACCTCCTAAATCTACACCCTGACCAACTCAGGTCCAGGCGCCTGCCCTCCTTGCTCGCTGTGGCTGCACCCTGAGCCCCCATGAGGTCCTGATTGTCGCTTCACGTCCTTCCAGCTCTCTGCATCTGCTTTTGTGAGCACTTGGCAAGGCTAGGAGAGGAGGACCCTGTCCAGAATTCATGCAGGACAGGGGGGAAAGACAGGACATCTCAACGTGGAAAGACTCTACAGGGAAAACAGGATTGTCTAGGATCGAGGGAGATGGAAAATGAACAGCCTCAGAATACGAAAAAGCCAGAAGTAGCTTGGACTCTGGAAGACAAGCAAAAGTTAGAAAATGAGGGAAAGAGAGAAGAGGAGGGAAAGACAGGAGATGAGGAAATGCTAGAGGAGAGGGAAAAACCTGAGAAAGGAGGGAAAGCCGAGAGAGAAGATGGGGAAAGCAGCCAGGGACGCAAGGGCTGCAGGGAGGCGCCCAGTGGGGGATGACGCGCTTGGAAAGCCAAGAGAAAAACCGCCATGGGGCTGGCTCCGTGCCTCGGAACAGAGTGGCCATAGCGGGTGTGCATCTGGGTGGTGACAAGGGACGGTAAGAGAATTTGACGAGATTGCTAGGGTGGAGGACGCTCTCAGAGCTGTGTCAGGAGAGCCCATGGGTGGTCACAAAGGCCTTCCCAACTCTGGCTGAGGACAGGATCTTGAGGCCAAAATTGGACACAGCATCTGAGGCCACTGGATTGAGGCGTGACAGTATCAGAACTCAGGTTCAGAAGTGAGGGGTTGGGATGCGAGCCAGTGTCCCGGGGATGACTCCTTGGGGACACAGGTCAGAAGTGCTTTTTTTTTTTCTTTCCGAGGAAAAGGGCCATGGAAAGGGGAGGCCAGGGCGGCTTCCATGGAGGATTTGGCAGTGACATTGGGGCTGAGGTCACGGCCAGGGTCACGACTGTTCCCCATTGGGGATGCAGAGCTCATGGTGGCAAGGCTTAGGTCCCTGTCACTAAGCTGGGCCTCCTGGTCAAGGACACGAAGATCGAGTCCCTGGAGGAGATCTGTCTTCTCCCCGCCCGTCAAGGAATCAGATCACTGACGTTTTCCTGGGGGTGTCCCTCAAGGACAAGGCTCTGAAGATTACGCCTGTGCAAAAGACACGCACTGGCCAGTGGACCCGGTTCAGGGGCAGAGGGGGCGGTGGTAGGGGTGAGGTCTGGGGTGGTTTGTAAAGTCCTGGGGGCTGAGGGCAGGGCCTGGACTGTACTGCCTGGTGGTCTGGAAGCTGGCTGATGTGGAGTGGCTGTCACCTTTGAGACGAGACAGACAGAGAGAGATGCTGCACATAGAAAAACATTTTAATGATGTGGTCTTGGTGGACTCTCTTCAGAGAGGAGAACCCCTGGGGAGGGGCTTCCCCGAACCACGGCCCTGGACACTTGGGCTGCCATCTCCCCTTCTGCCTCCTTGTGCGGGTGGCCCGGGACCTGGAGGACCCCCGCTCTATTTAGGGCTCTGTGAGGCCTGTTCTTGGCGCTCAGGGTCCACTCTTTCGCCGTGCTGAGGGCTGGAGTGGGACCATCTGCTTCTGTTGTTCTTGCCGCTGTTGCTGGGTCGTCCCTCTCCTCCTGGGGGCGGGAGCGTAGTGCCCTGGGTGTGCAGCCTGCAGGCTGGGGCTGGGAGCCGGGGCTGGGAGCTGGGGGCGCCTGTGCCCCGCCACCAGCTCTCTGCCTCAAACACCCACCCCTCCCTGCAGCTGGGAACCTGAGGAAGGACTCTGGGAGACTATTGGGGAAACAGGAACAAGGAGCCCTGGCCTGGAAAAGGAGCCCCAGGTTTGAGTCACAGCGTGGCCTGGATGTGTGACCTGGGGTAACCCTCTGCCCCGCTGTGCGCGGGGCCCCACCTGTTTTCCACGTCTTGCACCGTGTCCGGCAGTGGACGGCCCAGGGTCTCCGGCAGGAAGGCAGTGGCAGCACTGGCAACCACAGGGACAGTGCCGAAGACGAAGAGAGGCAGGGGGCGGTAGAGCTCAGCCATCATGGTCACCAGCGGGCTCACGATGCTGCCCACTCGGGCCATGGTGCTGCCCATCCCCAGGCCTGTCTGTCTGTGGGGTCACAGGGGGTGGGAGCCAGTTAGTGTTCTGTTCCCCATTGGTTAGCAAATAGATTTGGCATTTGTTTTAGAGATTAAAAGAAGGAAAAAAAACACAAAAACCCAGGATGGGGAGGGCTCTGGCCAGAGAGTCAGGAGACTGATTTTGCCTCCCCTGGGAACTTGCCGGGAGACCTGGGGCAAAGCCCCTTCTGCCTTCCAAGCCTAAGTTTCCTCAGCGGTCAGTTCGGACTGACTGCCGGTTAGACCAGTCGACCTCCAGTCGCCTGCAGGGGTTCTGAGTTACGGTTGCTCCAGCCCCACAGGGACAGGCCTATGGGAATAGAATCCCCTGGGGAAGGATCTGAGCTGGAGAGGGTGGAAGTTAAAAGTTCTGACTCAGGAGACACACTGGTTGGATTCATATACAAGCTTTTTCACTTGCAAGCTCTGTGGCCTTGGGCAAGTTGCTTAACTTCTCTGTGGCTCAGTTTTCTCTTTCATAAAAACGGGAATAATCCCAATATCTACCTAATAGGCTTGTTATGAAGATTAAACAAGTTGATAGTTGTAAACAGTTGAAGAAGAGCTTGGCACATGGTAAGTGGCTCATGTGATTATTCTTCCCCAGATATCTCAGGAGGGCTCAGTTCAGTAACCATGACCATGACCTTCAGGGTTCTCATGCCCAGTGGCTCAGGGAAGCCTGACATTTCTTTGACATCTCATGTTAATTTTGCTTCCCATTCTTTTTTTAAAATTAAGATTTTATTTATTTTCAGAGAGAGGGGAAGAGAGGGAGAAAGAGAGGAAGAGAAACATCAGTGTGTGGTTGCTGTTGAAACCAGAAAAATAGAGAATAAAATAGGGACTGCCTTAAAGAGATTTGGCCTGGAGGCAGAAACCACAAGGAAATTAAGAAAGAACATAGGGGGTGGAGAAGGCGGAACTACAAAACCAATGGGGCTGAACAAGTAGAGGACTACCTGTTCAAGTGTCTAGATTAAAATTTTTCCATTATTCAATTAGTACTTTTTTTTTTTTTAGATTTTATTTATTTATCTTTAGAGGGGAAGGAAAGGAGAGAGGGAGAGAAACATCAATGCATGGTTGCCTTTCATGCATCCCCTGCTGGGAACTGGCCTGCAGGGAACCAGCCTGCAGCCCTGGTATGTGCCCTGACTGGGAATCGAACCGAGATTGTCTGGTTCGCAGGCCCACGCTCAATCCACTGAGCTACACCAGCCAGGGCCTAAAATTTTTCCATTATTCAAAACCCAGAAAGCTTAGGTCATGCTCGTGCCACCCGAGTAGCCAGTAGCTAACAGCCACATTTGCTTCTACACAATGCTTGCTTGCTCACGTCTATAAAAAGACTTAGCTGTAAGCACTTAGGGTGGCTCTCGTTTGCAGCTCTTAGGAGCACCGTGTCTCCGGACACTTTGAGGGTCCACCCCTGCGCAGATTAAAACTTTGGCCAATAAAATAACATCTCTGAATCCTGAAAGTTTCTGACAATTTGTCTCTCACGTTGGTGGATGCAACATTTGCCTCTTCCACGCTCCCCTACTGGGGACCTGACCCCCAACCCAGGCATGTGACTTGATTAGGAATTGAACTAGCGACCCTTTGGTTCACAGGCCAAACTCAATCCACTGAGCTACTCCAGCTAGGGCTGTATCCCATTCTTACTACAGACACGTGTTTCTTGTTTCTGAATTCAATAACCCTTCCTCCGCCAAATCTCGGCACTCGGAAGAGCACCACTGTGTTCATCCACACGGCGGGCGTACCATCCGGTCCCACCATGACTAAAGTGATGGGAAAGTACTTCCACGTTTGTGGGCTTCGGGTTCAGACGTGCCACTCGGTGTACAGGTGAGACCTAGATCTGGTGTCGGAGCAAGGGGGCATTTCAACTCATTGCCTCTAAGACGGGGGTGTCAAACTCGTGTGCACTGGGGGTAACGTCAGCCTGGAGATTGCCTTCGAAGGGCCAAATGTAATGTTAGGACTGTACAAATGTAACTTCTCCTTAACTAGGGGCCCGGAGCTCGGCGTTGCCACCGGGTAGAAACAAGGCGCTGGGCCGGATAAAACCAGGTGGAGGCCCAGATTCAGCCACAGGCCTGGTGTTTGCCACTTGCGCTCTGAGATGAGTCTTGGTTCCCTACTCTGTCTCAGTTGTGACACCTTCTGAGATCTTCTAGGGTCAGGTAAGGGCTTAGTCAGTAGTCACACCCGTGTTGGCCAGGCCACCAGCTGTGCACCGAGTGGCAGCTGCGTACCTTGCATGGCTGGGTGCTGGGAGGGGGCTTTGGGCAGGGGCGTACTGGGCCTCGCTCTGGGGTCTGACCTGTGCGTGGGGGAGTGTTTTACCCAAGGCTCCTCCCGAGGCTCCCACTCACCGGATCATTGTGGGGTACAGCTCCCCAGTGTATAGGAAGATGCACATGAAGGACGAAGCCAGGCAGCCTTTCCCCAGTGCAGAGAGGGAGGTGCGGACGATGGACTGATCTGGAGAGAAAGGAGGGGCGTCAGCAGGATCTCGGAAGTCGGGGGGTAATTGCCTCCCCTCCCCTGTGAGAAGTTGAGTCACGTCTGGGGATGAGGCCAAGGAAGGGCCTGCGTGCTGGCTGGCGAGCACTCACCCTGGGGCACCACCCCATTGATCAGGATGCAGATGCCGGCCAGGAGCAGGGAGGCCATCTGGGTGGGCCGGCGGCCCAGGGAGTTGATGACTAGGAAGCACACAAGCTTGGCAGGCAGGTCCACAGCTGTGAAGATGACCTGGATGAGGTAGATGCTGACCCCGAAGCCTTGCAGGTCCATGACCAGCCCGTAGTAGGCAAAGCTAGTGGCAAACCTGGTGGGGAGAGAGGAGGGGTATGGGGTTTGTTCAGCAGGCTTAAAAGGAGGGGTGCTCATTCAAAACAGGAGTGAGCTGCACTGAGGACCCTGCTGAATAAGGAGCCAGGATGCACCTCCTTGGTTAGTCTTTCTTCAGACGTTAGTATCCGGTTTAAATATTGGGGTAGCCCTGAAATACTCCCAATTTCGTCACTTGGTTGCTATGTAGGATTTACATAGTTTAGGTCTTTCTCTTATCTACTGACACTGGGCTGAGGCAGGACAGGTGGGCGGGCTGGGCCGTATCTCTAGGGCTGGAGTGTTGGGAGCAGCAATAATAGCCTCCAGGGACCCACTGTGGTGCCGGGGATGGGTGCCGTGTTTTTGAAGATGTCGAAAGCCCACAGAATGGTGCTCAGGTCATTGGGTAAAACCCACAACCGAGAGCAAACCCAGAATTGGAAACAAAGAATTGGTTGGTGGGATCCTTCCTTTTGACCATGGGTCCCTGAGCGGTCACGGGATTGCCACCGTGGCGGGTTGGTGAAGGTTGCCGTAAGAAGGGTAAATGGTTGCATTGCCACGGGAAAGGCAGATGTTTGGCTGAAATCCGCCTCCACCAAAGTGGGCATCTGGAGGTAAGCTGTAGGCATCTTGCTGCCTGCGCCTGTGCTTCTGGCCGAGGCCAGGGAAGTGTCCGAAGGCTTTGCAAGACCAACTGGTCTCTCCTTCCTGATGTCCTTCTGTTGACTTGGGGGCCACTGATCCTGGTGAGATTTTTCTATTGTTTACTGGAGCGGAGTTGATACAGGGAAGAGCGAGGGAGACGTCGATGCCCCCCCGTTGGGACTCTGGAGCTGAACTGAGGTCGGAGGTCAGCCGGTCCTTCAAGATGTTCCACTGGGGCCGGACTTCTACCCTCCCTGCAGACCTGCTGACTTTTCCTCCCTCTTCCCACCCAGGGCACACACTCTCCCCCAGACAGCTGTCTGTCCGTGGGTCTGTCTGTCTGGGCCTACCACAGCATGGAGAGGCAGAGGAAGAGGCGGCGCAAGGCGGGGCAGCGCAGCAGCTCTATGGCCGAAGCCTGGCCTTTGCTCATGGTCAGCTCCTTCTGCAGACTGGACCGGAGGACCTGCCGGGATCAGGGGCTCAGGGCCTGGGCTCGTGCAGGAGCTCCTCCCAGCCCAGCCCCTTACTCAGGGGAGAACCCCCTGGGTCCTGAGACTAGGGTGTGGGGTGAAGCCCAAGACGATGCCCTGGGAAGCACTGGGGGGGTCTCACCTCTGTATTCAGCTTGGCCCCCTCATCCCCCTTCCCATTGATCCGGGCCACTTTCTGTAGGGCGCTCAGAGTGAGGTCCAGCCTCCCGGTGGTGGAACACCAGCGGGCTGACTCCACGAAGAACCTGGGAGCAGGGGTGAGTGTGGATGTCGGCCCAGCTTCAGTTCCAGTCCGCTGGGCTGGGGGTAGGGGGTGAGCTTTCTAGGGGCCTACAGTGGGATTTCTCTTAAGTCTAGGAACCCAGCGGCTTTGTCAAACCCATCTCTTTGGGACCACAAAGCAGCAGCACCTCACTCAGTGACAACTCATGGTGCAACCCAGGAGCTCAGCCCTCGGGGCTGGGTTAAGGGCACAGGGCAGGGGCTGGAGGCCTGGGAGAGGCTGAGAAAAGCTGGAGAGCTGGACACCTTGGGGCAAATCCCTCCACAGCCGTTTTCCCATCTGTCAGACTGAGGCTTGGCCTGGGTTTGACCTTCCAGTTTTGACCTTTTCTAATTCTGTGGGGTGGGGCATTTGGCACGATCTGGTGGTGGGGGGGCCTCGTGCCCTCATGCCTTGCAGCCCCCTGGACTTTTGTGGCACTCTTGCCCACCCTGGTTCCCACTTACCAGGAATAGGTGAAGGAGATGAACAGAGGCAGGGAGAGCAGCAGCTGCAGGTGGCGCCAGTGGGGCACGGCGTAGGCCAGGCCGGCCAGGAGAAGCTGGCCCAGGCTGTAGGCATAGCTGTTCAGGACGCCCACGAAAGCCAGTGTGTGGACGGGCATCCACTCCACATCTGGAAAAGAGCGTTAGCATAGAGCGATGCGACACCTTGGGCTGCTGGTGGGCGGAGGCCCCGGGACAGGCAGAGACCCTTCTCTGCACCCACGCCTTGGTCTGTCCCAAGGCTCAGTGGGAGGTACGCTGAATGAGGGTGCATGCCAGGCAGAGAAAGTGGAAGACTTCCAGGGGAGGGTGGGATGGGGAGGCAGGTTTGGGAGCCTCAGGAATCGTCCCCTCCACTCCTCTTCTGTGTGTTTGTTCCTCCCTGAGCTATTCCTGGCTAGGGCCTCCTTCCCCTTCCGTGACTCTCGGACCACTCAGTCCATCCTCGACAGCAGCCGCTCCTCCGGTTTTGCTCAGCCTGGGCCGGATTTCAGCCTCAGGAGCCAGGGCAGCTTGGAGGAGGCAGCGGCTTCCCTCCGTCCTGGAGAGTGGAGATGGGAGGGAGGGGACCTCCCTGCGGCGATCTGAAGAGGCTCAGCCCCGTTTCTGGTGGGCTCCTGGGGCCTCCTGCCCAGCCCCGGTCCAGTCCCAGTTAATTCCTGTAGTTCAGGGAACCCCAAAAGCCCAGATTCCCTGCTGCAGTCGCGGATGACCTTGAGTAAATCCTCTCCCTTCTCCCCGGCCTCAGGTTTCTCAGCTGGGGAACACGGGGAGAGGGAAACAGCTCACGGACAAGCCACGCTCAGTCCGCATGTGTTCCCCCGACACGATGCCGGCTTGCCCTGTGTTGAAAACATCAGAATGCATTGCCAACATGTAAAACTTGGGATAGTTTACATTAATAACAAGGAAGGGAGAAGATCTTTCAGCCCTGAGACCTGGCTGTGGCCCCTTGGGCACAGTCCTCCCCACCCCTAATGCCTCTTGTACCTGGTCTGCTCCAGTCATTTATGGGACCCGCTTGTCTCAAACAATGGAGTTTGTGAGCTCAAATCTAAATGAGGGGCCAGGATGGCATACGCTTCCTGCAAAGGCTGCTATGTTGGCTGAGAGGGCAATCCCAAAGGGCAGGCCAAGGGCAGGCGCAGCTTGGGAGGGGCGGGCTAGGAGGGGAGGCTGGAAAGTGGGCGCTGGGCTGCATGGTGAGCGGAGAGTGGGTGGGGACCCGGTGGGGACCCGCCCTGCCTTCCCCACACCCCTCACTTAGGGTAATGCTGTTGAGGGTGATGCCGGATATCGACATGCCCAAGAGGAACCGGAAGGCACAGTAGATGGGGAAGGTGGGAGCAAAGGCTGCACAGGTTGCTGACACAGCCGTCTGCAGGTGGTTCAGGATCAGCACCTTCCGGCGGCCCAGCCTGTTGGGGGGGGGGGACCTGTATCAGGGGTCCTGAGGACCAAGGGGGCCGGGCAGGGCGGCGAGAGCAGCGCTTGCCCTGGGTGAGGTCCTTGGTGGGGGGTCTTCGAGGACCTGTGACGCGTCATGAGGCTGGTGCTGGAGGGCCTCACAGCAGCCTCAGCTGGGCGTGCCAACCTCCCACCCAGGGCTCTAGGCCCAGCCGAGGAACCACCAGTCGCAGCCCAGCCACTCGGCCCTGCCCAGGACTGACCTGTCTGCCAGGCGCCCAAACACCATGGCTCCGAGAAGCACCCCTGCCATGTACAAGGACTGAGCCAGCTGGCGTAAGGCCCTGTGAGAGCACACGAGGTCCCACTGCGGGGAGAGGGGACAAGGTCCGGCAGAGATGAGCCTGGCTGCAGGGTGGCATCCCCACTCCCGGCTGGCACGTCCAGGTCTGTCACCCTCTTCCCCTGACACTTCTTCTCTTTGCGGTTTGTCTCCCCTATCCCAGGACTGACTGTGCTGGACTCCCACATCCACCTTTTCTACAAAGGCCTCCCCTTCCTGAGCCTTGTCTGCGCATTGTGGCCACTGGGGCACTTGAGACAGTGTGTGTGTGTGTGTGTGTGTGTGTGTGTGTTTCTGTCTGTCTGTTTCAGAGGGGAAGGCACAGTCTGGATGGTGCACGGAGGGGCCCAGGTGTCCTCACCTCGGTCACGATGGTGGAAGGGAAGGTGCTGTTGTTGTAGATCCAGCCATCCGTGCAGGGCTCTGTGGCTGCCGTGCCATTGGCCTCTGTGCCATTGGGAAAGGGCGGTCCCCGTCGTGGGGAGACGAAGCGGAGGCAGGACTCGGGCTGGCCCCGCTCATCCAGGGGCAGCCAGGCCTCCAGCGCCGCGTCCTCGCTGAGGTTGGCGCTGACGGGCGGGCGGCAGTGGTGGGTGGGGATGGCGGCGGTGAAGTTCTGGAGGGTGTTGTGGGAGGACACCACGAGCAGGGGGAGGATCACCAGGGTGACCTGGATCTGCTGGAAGCGGCCGACGCCCCCCAACTGCTGCAGGAGGTCATTGAAAGCCATGGGGGACAGGCCCAGCTGTGTGGCTGGGAGCTGAGGACTTCCCGTCCCAGGGCCTCTGTCTCCGTGTCTGCCCGCTGCCCGGTGCGGGAGGAGAGGGGCTGCCGCGGCTTCCGCAGCTCAGTTGCTCCTAGAGCCGAATCTGAGCTGGCCCTGTGGGGGGGACAGCAGCGCGGCCGGCGCCCCTCCTCCCCTCTCTCTGCCTCTCTGTCCCTCCCTTCCCCTTGCAGCCTCTTCTCACTCCGTAGGGGCTCAGGGTCTGCTGTGGCCCTGATCCCTACAGGGCAGCATTTCATTCTTGGCAAGGAGGGATGGAGTTAAAGTGTGACTTAATTTCAGAAGGATTAACCCAAATATTCTGGTGTCAGTAGAATATTATACCCCAGGCATTTAGGCGTGTAAAGGACAGGACAGGGTGGACTGAGGTAGGGGTGGTGGGAAGAGATGGACTCGGGGGGGCTCACCTGGGCATCTGGGGGCAGGGCCTTTCGGTCTTCCATTTAGTGAGAAGCGGCTTCTGAGAAGTGCGGTGACCTTTTGAGAGGCTCCTGTCATTGTCAGTGGACAGGACCCGAACACTCTGTGTCCAGGAAGGGCTGCCAGAATATAAGACGCCCAGTTAATCTGAATATTAGATCAACAAATTTTTTTTTACAGTAATCGTGTCCCTATAATCACATGGGATAAACTTACATTAAAATTATTCACTGATTTGAAATTCAAGTTTAACTGGGCATCCTGTATTCTTACTTGCTAGAGTTGGCAACCCTGGTCTTCGGTCTTCTGGGCTCAGCTCACCTGTCATAGGGCCAGAGCTCTCTGTTCGGTCAGAGAAACAGCAGGGCTCAGAGGCTGCTTCTGAAGCAACGGGGCCCGAGACCACCATCACGCGAGACTCGGGAGCTCCAGCCTGAGGCCCACGGGCCTCGTGTGGCTCAGGGCGGCTGTGAGTGCAGCCTGACCCAGAACCGTAAAATCACTTAAAACATGATGAGATCGTTTTGTGATTACGTGTCACGCGTGGCCCAAGACAGCTCTTCTTCCAGCGTGGCCCAGAGACGCAGGGAGGTTGGACACCCCTGACTGGCGCTGGGTTCTTCCAGTGCCTCAGCTTTAACCTTCTAGCTTCTCCGGATTCAAATTTCTGCCATTTTTTTTTTTTGCAATGAGCCCAAGCATAGTTTATTTCTAGCCAGACTTCTAAGACAGCCACTTGGTCTCCTCCAGCACTTGGCTCCTGAGTTCTGATCCCTCACCAGCAGGGCAGGGCTGCGCTGTGATCGGATGGGATCTGGTTGGTTGGGTCACGGGTTGGGTGTGCCGAGAGAGCCGGGGACCTCTTCCTGCTTTTCACTTGCATGGGATATATTGTAAAACATGGGTGCTGGGATCAGCCTACTGGGGTCCTTCCCCCACTTCCTGGCTGTGCAGCTGGGGGACGTTGTCGAACCCCTCTGTATCTCTATGTTCTTGTTCGCACGGTGCAGAGAAGAGTCATGTTGGCTTCTTGTGTTGCTGGAGGGTTAAATGAGCCAATATACAGGTAAAGATCTTAAAGTATCCCCTGCCTCACAGCTCAGTGATTGCAAGCTGTACTTACTGTTTATGTCTGGTAAAAAAGTAAGACTATTGATTTGAGAGAGAAAATACACTGAAGCACATCTTATCCAAAGAACAGAGATTCTCCACGGAGGGTGATTTGTCCCCCGGGGACACCGGCCATGTCTGGAAACACCACGACTGGGGGTCGTGGTGCTACTGGCTTTTGTGGGTACAGTTCTGGGATTCTGCTGGACACCCGGCAATGCACGGGACACCCCCACACGACCAGAAATGGTCTGGACCCCAAATGCCAATATGCTAAGGTTGAGATCCCCCCAACTGAAAAGATGATCGATCCCAGCCCTGCTGGGCTAAGGTCACTCCAGTCATACAGATGGCTCCTACTCCGATATTTCTAAGATAGCCCACACCCTCATCTGAGTGGGGAGACAGCTTGCAAAATGGGGAAGAGAGCTCCTCCTCCCCGTTTTGCCCGAATACAGCAGAATAGCCTGGCTTCCAGGCGCCGGAGCTCTTTCTCTGGCCAGCCCACCCGGAGGGACTGCATCGGGGCCCCAATCTGCCCGTACGCCTCCAACATTCTTCTCCACCACGCTGACTCTGCTGTCGGGCTGGGGCATGGTGTGTTTCCACTGGGAGTCTCTGGCTGGCCCGCTCCGCGATCTGGTTCTCAGTTCTTCCGGTGCAAAATCTACATCTTGTTGCTGAGATGAAGCAGTTTGATTTCCATCTTCTCTTGTAAGGAGTCAAGATGCCCTGTTATTGCGTGCAGTTTATAGAAATTACTCTTTTGTGTCTTAAGTTGGGAGGGGGTTTATTGCCCATCAGGGCTCTGGGATACTTGAGGTCTTAAACTATTCTAACCTCAAAGCCAGCTTCTTAACGGCTGCTCTAGAGGAGTGGACTGCCCAGCTAATAAGGTCTTAGACATCATCTCGTCTCATTTGTCCAGAAGGGAAGAGGGGAGGCACAGGAAGGGGTGTGACTCAGCCCAGCCTCCCTCCTTCCACCCAGCGTGGGTTCCGGGCTGGGACCCCCTGGGTGTCCAGATGCCTGACAACATCCTCCGGGCCAAGGTATATAAACAAGAGCCTTGTGCCCTGGGGATGTGAGGACAGCTGGACAAACAGACTGGGGGTTCTGGGGCAAGTCTCCTGCCAGAACTTGCTGTCTTCATGGGGGAGAGGACGGAGTGCTGAGGCCAGTGGGGGAGGTGGTGGGTCCTTCCAAGAACCCTCCCCCTCTGACCCTGTGCCCAACCTGGCCTTGGAGGAGAGCTCCCCCCCAGTTCCTGACCAGCTTCCAGTCAGGCTGAGTCCGGAAAAAGATCAACTAGAGACTCCAGGGACTGAATTGTGGTTGGCTCCTGGGATCATTTGGTTAGCAAGGGGAGTCCCCACTGGCCTCCCAGCTCATAGAGAGTTTCTTGATAGAAATGATCATGTGGAAAATGATCTGCAGAGTCAGGGACTATCCTCTATGGACCAAAGGGTCAAATCTGGGGACTTGAGATTGGCTAAGAGCCACTTGCCTTCTCTGTGTAGGTCAGGAGATGGAGGCTCAGAATAGGCAGAGGTTGGTCCATGATCACACAGCAAGCAGACTTCTTGATCCCATCGCTCTTTCTATCACGCTGGCGGCTCTTCCATGTCCCAGATGCTCTGAGACATCTGGATTTTGCCTAACTTATTCTGTTAAATAAATGGGACTTAATAAGGAGTGTGACTACATGTAATTTTGATTTTTAGTAACTTGTGACACCTTTCAAATAAATAATTTACAGATCAAAGAAAACACTCTTGCTCAACCCTAAGCATGCGTTTGAAAATGCTTAGCCAGGAGAGCAGTCTGGCAGCAGACTGGGCGGGACTCACAGGCCGTGGTGACATCTGGAACGAGGTACCAGACTGTGAGCTTCATGCCCGTGGCAGGGCCACCCTGGCCGATGGATGGTACAGAAGTTAACAGTTCACGCACAGACTGCCATTTAAAGTCTGGACGCGAGGCCAGTAACCAATGAGGTGGCTCAGTATGAGGACTCTGCCCAAGAGCGGTGCCAAGTGGCAAATCACTAAGCCACTTGGAGGCCCAGCTCAGGAGCAGAGAGAAGGGAGTAGGGGAGGCAGGATGAAGCTGAGCTGGAGAAGGGCAGCCGGAGAGGGCATGGCACCCAGACCGAGCGGGGGCTTTGGGAGCAGTAGGAAGAAGGGGTCAGTAGTCCTGGCGAGCATCCTGGGTCACCAGGAGTCCTCATCACGGGGCTGGGAGGTGCCGTCCTGGGCATCCTCCCTTCCCTCCTGTGTGTCTGCAGTAAATGCCCTGAAATAGCCCCAGAGACCTTGGGAGCCACCCTGAATTCTGACAGCTGAAAGGTAGCAGGAGAGTGAGGTGGCTGGTGTTCCTCACTGAGCCCCTTCTTCTCCCTCCAGCTTGCAGTCAAGCCAAAGGGAGGCCTCGGTGACCCCTTTGTCAGCTGACCCTAAGTCAAGTGCAGTGGGGCTGGGTTGGGCGGAAGTCAAGCGCAGGGCTGTACGAAGGCACCGGAGCAAGTGGAGTGACGCTGGATCTCAGGGTGCCAGGGGACGGGTGTGGAAGCGGGTGGGGCCCATCCGCGGCAGGCCCTGTCACAGGGTGCACACTTCTTCCCAGAGGGGAGTCACAGAGAAGCCGGAGCAGGATGACCTCTCTCTCAGACGTTTTGTTTTATTTTGTCTTATTTTACTTCTTTTCTTCCTCTCTCAGATGTTTAACGACCGATTTGAGGGCAATCAGCTCTGTGAAGTGTGTGGGAGCTGCTCTCGTGGGGCTAGCCTGCCGTGAGAGCTCTAGCCGCTAGGACGAAACACACGGCAGGTCCGGAAGCCTTGGGGCAAATCGAAGGCTCTGAAATCTCTCACAGATGATGTCGATGCCGGTTACATGTAACAATGGTGATACAGGGATGTCCTGGGCTAAGTACAAGGTGCTGTTATTGCATCTAATACACTCTGATTAAAATGAACTTCCCTTTTTTTTTTAACTTTGAAAAAGCAGCCACTGGGGATTTTTAGCTCATGTAAGTGGCTCGCGCTGCACCCCCACTGGACAGCGCTGGGAAGAGTCCCAGAGGATGGGCCCAGGACAGGGTTCTGGGGGGCGGCAGAGGAAGGGGCCCTGCTTTGGGAACTGTCTGGTCACAGGAATGGAGATCCCCGAGTTTAGCTCACACAAAAAGAGACCCTGATGCAATGTGGAGAATTCAGGGGTATTTATGGGAGCCCAGTGTCTGAAAGCGCATGCTGGGCTGAGTGGGCTGTGGGACCTGGAGCCCACGGAGGAGAATCAGTGCAAACAGCCTCGTCAGCTCTGTCTCTTGTTCCTCTTTTCTCTCTGTTCCTTTCTTATCCTTTTTCTGCTCGACCTGCCTCTGGACCAGCCCACCCGCATGACAATGTCCTTCCTGGGGCGAGGGCCAAGGGACGGACTGGACTCTCCACGCTCAAACCCCAGCCCAGGACGGAATGCGTGATCAACGAGACTTGGATCCGAGGGGCTTCTGGCCCTGCCGGTCATGGGTGGAGGTGTGGGGTCATATCACTGTTCCGTCAGCAGGCCCTGGGACACATCCCTGGGGACACCGATCACTGGGGACACCCTGAAAGAGACTGAGAAGGAGCAGCCAGGGTGTGGGAGGGAGCTGCAAGCGTGTGGCGTCTCAGCAACCAGGGTTGCAGGGCGTGGCCAACAGAACCACACCTGCTCAGAGTCCAGGTAAGACAAGTGATGAAAAGTGACCTGTGGATTCAGCACGGGGCAATGCATGTCCTTGGTGAAACCAGTTCAGGGAGGGGGTGGGAGCCCTGTGCGCTGCGGAGACAGATGAGGTTGGGAAGGGGAGGCAGACCGCTCCTCCCCATTGTCTGGCTGTGAACGAGGGCAAGAGCCGAGTGGTCTGGGAGGAGGTGAGGCACCCGAGGGGGTCTGCTTGCTCGTGCGGATTTCCTGAAGGCAGGAGAGGCTTGAGCATAACTGGTGGTGGAAGGAACCAGGAGGGAGCGGACGGGTAGAGGCCTCAGGGGGAAAGCAGTTGGCCTCTGAGGGGACAGGCCGGGTGCTGGGCCCCCGGGAGAGGTCTGGGCTTAGAAGGGAACTCAGGAGACGTGGATGGAAGTAGCTTTGGCTATTTAATGTTTTCTCTGTTAAACGGAGACAAAGTCGTCGGCGGGTGTGGGGCTGGGACGTGGATGGGAGATGAGGGGTGAGCAGGGCAGGAAGATCGAGCTTGGAGCAGCCCCGTTGGTCTGCGGCCACTCTGGGCTCGTCCAGCCGTCTGCTCACACACGCTCGGGCGAGGGACTTACGGGGGATGCGTCTATGGGAACCCTGACCTCCAAGGTGGTGGCGATTGGGGATGGGCTTTGGGAGATTAGAGTTAGATGTGGTCTTGAGGACGGGGCCCTCAAGACGGGGTTCATGTCCTCAAGGAAGAGATTCCCGACAACTAGCTTCCTCTCTCCCCCTCCACGTGTGGGTGCAGTAGGAGGCAACCAGCTGCGAACCAGGAAGGGGGCTCTAACCGGGAACTGGGCCTGCCAGCACCTTGACCTCAGACTTGTCAGCTTCTAGGACTGTGAGCAGGAAGCATTTGTGGTTTAAGTGACCCAGTCTGTGACGCGCTGTGCCGGCAGCTCGGCAGACTAACGTGGAAGGCTTGGTGTGTACACACTTCGGTGCACTCACACGTGTGTGCGTATGTTCGCATCAGCCCAGCTTGCATGTACCTGTGTGTCCTTGCCTTCCTGCACAGGTGGGTACAGAGGATGCACGTGAAGCTCATGCCCACACAGCGGCCTGCCCCCCTCCGCTCCCCCGTTCCTGAGCCACACAAGGTGTTCATTGTTGTTTATTGAAACCTCCCATTAAAAAGGGGGGCAGAGGGCAGGAAGGGGAGGGAGGGTTGAGCCAGGGTGGCCAGGGGACTTCAGGGAAAAGGAGGTGGGACCGTGGGGAAAGTGGCAAGGCCTGGGCTGCAGGGAGGAAGAGGGCGGCAGGGTCTGGGAAGGCCAGTGGCTGAGTCTTAGACCTGGTTGGGGCTGGGCTGGGGGAGCGGTGGCGGTGGCAATAGTGCCACCAAGCTCTCAGAAGCCTTTGTTCTAAGAGCACCAACCTGCCCAGGGCCCCCCTGCCCCCCCGAGGTGCCTGTGGAGCCCAGAGGCAGGCAGGGACCTGGCTGGGGCTTGTCTCGGAGGTTGTGTTGCCCTCAGCCGGGGCCCAGGCCTGGTCGGCAAGGCTGCAGAGGGGTCCTCTGGGAATCTTTCTCTGCTTCTGGCTCCCGCTTTGGCTCCTTTACCCGTGGGGACCTAGGGAAAGAGAACTGAGGGAAAGCCCCGGGCCTAGACCCGCTTCCCCGAGGAACAGCACCGCGGAGGCCGGGGGACTGACCATTTTTCCATGTCTTCGAGAGTCTCTGGCAAGGGTTGGTTGAGGGTCTCAGGCAGGAAGAGGGAAGCGCTACCTCCCAGGAGGGCCATGGTCCCAAAAATGACATTGGGGACGGAGGGATGCCATTCTGCCGTGATTCTCACCAGGGGGGCCGTCATGCTTCCTATGCGAGCCAGCAGGTTACTTATGCCCACGCCTGTTTGCCTGCGAGGGTCAGAGCAGGGATTGGCCACATGCATGTGGGGCCCCTGAAGGACGGCGCCGGGGCCCAGGCAGGGTGCAGGAGGATGCCGCAGTCCCACCTGAGCCTGCATCCTTCAGCTGGGCCAGCCCCAGGCCCAGCCCCAGGCCCAGCACCTACCGGATGACCGTGGGGTACAGTTCACTCGTGTAGAGGAAGAGACAGCTGAAGGAGCTGGACAGGCACCCTTTCCCGAACACAGCCAGCACTGTCCTCAGGGTCTGCAAGTCTGTGGGGGGGAGAACGCATGGTGAACCTTGGGGCTTAGGAGCACCTGCGTATTCTCGCTCTGCAGCAGACCTTGTCTCCCTTTTTGCTTTGGCTGCCAGGAAGCTCAGACCCAAGCTTAAAGCCAAGTCATAGCCATTCTGCTGCTCCTAGGGCTTAACAGGTTTGTGTCCTGCTGCATTTGTGGTTTTCCCTGGCTCTGATTCCCTGTTCTCATTAACTTTTTTTGTTGTGCGTGTTCTTGTCCTAAATTATCTCCAGTTCCTTTGGCGGGACAGAGAAGCATCAACACAGAAACATCTGTAGAAAATAAAGCTGGCTTTTCCACGGATATGGTGGAGGAGTTTCTGTGAGCACTGGGCTCCGTTGTGTCTCCACTCCAGCCTGTTTTCTCCAGCGGTGCCCCCCAGGCCAGGCCCACCCCTCGAGAAATTCTGCACACTGAGCAGATGGCACCATGCTTTTCAGAGTGAGAGCTGGAACAGACCTTTGACGTGGTCCAGCCCGACTGAGTTGTTTTCTAGATGAGAGACCTGAGCCCCAGAGCAGGGGGACCTCCTCAAGGTAACAGCAAATTAGAGACAGAATCAGTAGAGCTGGAGTCCCTGGCGCTCACTTCCCAGCCTGTGGTGCCCGTGGACACGCTGGCCTGCATGGGTCAGCGGGCCCATGCTGACTCAGGGGTGGCTCCAGCTGCTCACCCGAGGACACGAAGATGAGAGCCAGGATGGTCACCCCTGCCAGGAGCAGGACGGCGACCAGGGTGTTATGCCGGCCCAGGTAGCTCATGGAGAGGATGGCCAGGAACTTGGCTGGGATGTCGACCCCGCCGAAGATGAGCTGGAGGATGTAGAGGTTGACTCCAAATTCTTCCACAGCCATAGCCAAACTGTAGTAGGCAAAACCGGTGGCAAACCTGAGGGTGAGGGGGCAGTCCAGTTAGCACCTGCTGCCCCACTGGGGCCTGTCCCCATACTGGTCACTGGGTCACTAGGATGATGACTAGTTTCATTTGTGTCCCAACTGCAACTGATTGGTTGGGTGGCTCCAGGGCTGTTTGGAGGCCCCTGAGGCTGTGTCTGGACTAGGTGAGAAAGTGCTGGGATCGACTGCTTATGTCTAACACGGGCAGGGGTAGGGTGCGGTGGCAACGATGCCACATAATTGACCCCAGAGAATATCGGGGCTGGGGGGACTGCTGGAGACCACAGGAGGCGGTAGAGGATCTCTCTCGGGTGGTGACAGTGTAACAGCCAGTTAGGGGAAGTGGAAGCGGGGCTGCCCGGAGCCTGCCCTGCCCTGCCCTCCCCGGAAGTCTGGGTCGCCTGTGAAGCGTTCCTGAGCAAATCCAGTCTCACGCAGGGATGGCCAGGACGGAGAAGGGCCTCAGAACCAGGGCACAGACAGGGCTTCTCAGGAGCAGTGGCATGGCAGGCAGAAGAGGGGAGGAGGAGAAGCACAGTTTTTGTCCTCGAGTCTGAAGCCCTGAGGACTGTGCTCAGTTGGGGTCTCAGAGGACAGAGGCCGAGCAGTGGGGGACAGTGTTGGGGGCGCAGCATGCGGAAACGGCTATGGCAGGGACATGAGCTGGTGAGGGGGTTTGGAACACTTGCCCAGGGGGTGGGGGGTGTGACTCCCGAGGAAAGCAGACCCTGATGGCTGGACCTGGGTGTGGGGCAGGGACACAGAGGACTTCCTGGTGCTGAGGCTGGGGCTGGGCTGGGGCAGCCCAGGGGAGGGGGTCTTTTGATGCCTCTTGCAGGTGCCCCAGGCTTTGCTCACCTGCTGGAGGCCTTGTTTACCGCCCCTGCCTTGGCAGAGGGGCTAGGGCGTGGGCGGGGAGGGGTGGTGGGTTACCAGGCCAGGGCGAGGCAGAAGGTCACGCGGCGCAGAATGGGTGTCTGGAACAGGTCAGCTATGCTGTGCTTGGCCGTGGTCAAGGAGACCTCCTTGTGCAGGTTGTGTTTGAGCTCCTTGGGGCAGAGGGAGGGGAAGGCTGCCATGAGTCACTGCCGGCAGGCGGGCGGGAGAGAGGAAGGGGCAGGCCTGCTGCCTCCAGAGGAGCCTGCTCAGTGTCAGACGGGAGGTGGGCTTGTGAGCTGGTGAAACACAGCCAAGAGGAGGGCCCAGCCCGAGGGCAGAGCCCGGGGTCCTGCCCCCACTTCAGTGCCTCTCGGCCCTACCTCCAGGCCGATTTTCTCTGCCTCCTCCTTCTTGCCGTTGAAGGCGGCCACCCACTGGAGGATCTTCAGGGCCTTCACAGACTTGCCAGACAGGACCATCCAGCGTATGGACTCTGGTATCCACCTGGGGGCCAGGGTCAGACCACAGTGGCTCACCCCTGAGCCGGAAGTGCCTTTGAGAGCCTGGATGAAAAGGTCCAGGCAGGGCCAAGGGGCAGGAGGCCCAGAAACCTGAGCTGCCTCACCACAGATTTCACGGAATTTAAACTTGGCCGAGCTTTGCACCTGGGCCATTTCCAGTGTTTTCTTCTTCCCCTTCCAGAAGAGCCTTTTCTCGGCCCCTACCTAGGCTGCTTGTTATTGTTGGGTGTCTTCTTAGTTAGGAACCTTGGGCCCGAGGCCAAGGCAGGTGGGGCCTGGGGAGGGGGGGGCGTGTTTGAGGCTGGACGGCTTGAGGTTGCGCACGCTCACCGCCCCAGCCTCCCCGGGCTGCATCCCAGGTCCTGGGTGAAGGGGCAGCTTGGGAAGGGGGCAAAAGTTGGGGCTGTGGTCTAGGGAATGGGTTTGAGGATCCTTGGATTTTTCCTACAAAGGACCAACTCTGCTGGGGTGGGGCTTGGGAGCTGAGCACAGCCTGGGGTGGTGGGATGGGCGAGGGGGCAGCCAAGCTCACTGTCCCTCACTCCGGGGCTGTACCTGTGAGGTTGGTTCGCCCTGAGCAGTCTCTGGGGGTCACTAGGGGTGGGGAGAAAGGAGTGATGTTTGGAAAAGTCTGGCCCGAGTTGAAATCAATTCCAGCTGTGGCCCCTGCAGGTGCCCAGGACCTGGCTCCAGCAAGGCCCTCGGGGGAGTGGGCACTGGTCGCTGAGACCACTGGGCTCAGCTAAGAGTGGTGGCCTCCAGGGCCCGTTGCCATCCCCTCTCCTGGCCTTTTGGCATCTGTTTCCGCCGGTTTTGTCAGCCAGCTCACTCCAAGATTGTCAGCGACTTCTTTCCAGTCACCAGGGGCAGGGCCCGAGCCCCGTCCTCCTCTCCGGGAATAATGTCAACAATGGCTTCCAACCAGGAAGCCTCCCTGGGGGCCAGGCACGAGTAAGTCTGGGTGACACGCACTCTTATCCTCATTTTGCTTAGAAAACCCCAAGGCTCTGAGTGGGCGAGGCTTGTCCCAAGTCCCATACGAAGGGGCCCAGGCTCTCGACCAACTGTACCTGATTGATCCTGCTGTTATTTCAACACTTCACTCCTTCTCTGCTCCCCTCCCAGGCTGAGGACATCTCCTGGCTCCTCCCTGAACCCACGGACCCCCTCTTGCACCCCAAGATTGCCCACCCCTTCTAGAAGGCTCTAATTTCCACATGGAGGTCCCATCCCAGTTGTGTATCTTTTTGTGTAACCTTGGGGGATCGCCTCACTTCTCGGAGGCTCGGTGTCCTCACCTGTGAAACAGGAGCAGCCAGGCCCCCTTCCAGCAGAGGCCGTGAGGAGGGGAGGCAGTCCAGGTCGGCACCCGGGACGGGGTCTCGCACATGGCGGGTGTGCATGCAGTAAAGCGCTGCTGCGAGACTTTGTTTCCTGTCCTGAATTTGCTTATTGTTTCCTGTTCATTGGCTCCAACTACCTTCTGGAGATTCATTTCCTGTCCTCGTGGGTCCTCGGGTTTGACTCGTTCATAATGAACTCTTGACCTGCTGTGGGGCGGTCTCTGACCCAGGCACCTTTATTCTGCCAGGGTCTCAGGCTTTGGGCTTTTTTCTCCTTTATACTGCAAATTTGAAATCCCCAGATGGTGTGGCTTTTCCTTCAGAATGCTTCTCACACTCGTCCCCTGATCCTCCTGCCGATACGGTTACCTCCCTTCTGTCTCGGCTCAGCACGTCTGCTGCGGCAGGCAGCCCCGGAGGGCGCCCCGGAAACCTGCTCCCGCCTGCACCTTGCCTCTGTGTGGGTAATTCCTCCTCCCTGACTCTGGGACAGGGGGGCCCCAGCATGGACAGAGCTGGCCAGCCTGGTCAGGCCTGGACTTTCTGCTGGGCTCTGCTGGGCCTGAGGAGGGAAGAGGCCACCTACCAGGACAACAGGAAGAAGGCGAAGAAGGGAGCGGACACCGTGAGCTGCAGCCAGCGCCACTGGGGGATGGCGTAGGCCAGGCCGGGCAGGACGAACTGGCCTATGGTGTAGAAGTAGCCGATCCCAACCGATATGATGGCCCGCATCCGGGTGGACACCCACTCGACACCTGTGGGAGGAGCCCACAGACCAGCTTAGGGCCCTTCTGGACCCTGGGCACCTCCCTGCGAAGGGCCATCAGCTCCTGGCTGCTGGACCTGACTGTGACTCTCTTTGACAGATGCTGAGACAGAGGCTCAGGAAGGTGGGACGCACACATAGGTCTGCCTGACTCCCAAGCCCACGCTCTCGACCGCCTCCCCAGTGGCCGGTGACTTCCCTTGTTTTGCCTCAATTTCCTTATCTGTAAAATGGGGGCAACAGCATCCCTTTCTTATGTGTGAGGAGGACTGAGTGAGATCAGACACTTAGCAGAGGCGAGTGCTCAGGACCGACACAGAGCTGCTGCTCTTACACGTGTCATTGTCATGTTCGGAGGGCGACACCTCACTCTACTGAGGCCCCAGGGGACCCAGGCCCAGACCCCACTCTCTGGGCTTCGGCTGGTGCTCCCCTGCCCCCTTCCCCTGCGGCTCACTCAGGATCACGGAGCCCAGGGTAACACCTGCGATGCTGAAGCCACACAGGAAGCGCAAGGCCATGTACATGGGAAGGGCGGGGCTGAAGGCTGCACCTGAGCCGCTGGCCGCCAGCAGCAGGTAGCTGCAGGACAGGATGGGCTTTCGGCCAAACCTGCAGCTCAGAGGAGAGAAGGGGCTGGGTTAGCCGCTGTGAGCCAGCCAAGGCGAGCGACGCTGCAGGCCTGGAGCAAAGGGTGGGACCGCCACCTCCCAGGGCGCCAGGCAGGGCATGTACATTCCTCCCCAGAGTGAGCCTTGCTTGTAATTGCATTTTTTTTGGGGGGGGGGACAAGTTTGTAATTAGAGGTTTTGTAGTTAATGAGTCAACTCTTCCACCTCCAGCTTAGCTGCCTGAGCAGGGGTCAAATGGTCAAGCCATCTCCAAGCGGTCCGTCTACCCCACCCCCACTGCGACAAAGCTGCTGCACTGTGTCGGGAAACCTGGACGCTTTTCCCACTGGGTCTGGGGAGGCTGGCAGACTCGAGCTGCAGGGCCTCTGGATCAGAGAGAAGGCCGGGGCCCAGGGCTACACAGCAACACCATCCCTCCCGCCTTCCTCAGCTCTTTGCCTCGTTGGGGCTCATGGGTGGGGCACAGAGGGGCAGGGTGGTCGCCATGGCTGTGCCCACTCTTGGGAGGCCCCGGTGTCTCACCTGTCAGACAGGCTTCCCAGCAAGATTCCCCCTATTACCATGCCTGCCATGAAAACAGACTGGGCCATCTCCTTCAGCTTGTTCGAGTCACACACCAAGTCCCACTGCAGAGAGAGAGGGAACATCGACGGGGCTCAGTGCCGGCCAGCCCCCCGGCCACGCTCAGCCTGCGCCCCACGGGCGCGCTCACTCTGCAGCGGCCCCACCCGACCACCCTGCACCTGGGCCCCTGCCTCCCAGGCACCCCTTCCCCTTCCAGCCCGGCCCTGGCTCCCGAGTGCCCCCGGTGGCTCTTTGGGGCCCGCGCTTTTGTAATGACAACATCCCTCTAGCACGTGTGGCCCGTCGCTCGACTTTCAAAGTCTGCTCAGCTGTCACATCTAGCTTTGTCCTCAGCCCTGCCCAGCTTGCTCCCCACGTGTCACCTCACACCTCCGAGGTCACTCCCTTTGCTGTGCCCTTGACCTCGCCCTCTCTCCCCCATGGGGACACGCCTCCATGGATGCCACCTCGCTCCGTCCCACGTCCTCACTCCCTCGCCCCCTCTCCCGACCCCACCTCGTCAGCATCGGCACGTGCTCCATCTCTCCGGCTTTCCCCCTCTTGGCTCTCCACGCTCACTTCAGCCCCCGTCCCTTTAGGGCCACAGTTCTGGTGCGAGGCTCTGCCCCTGCCACCAGCCCATCCTCAGCCCTGCCGCTTCCTCAGTTCTGCCTCTGTTGCTCCGCAGAAACTGTTCCCCAAAGCTGGTGTCTCTTCTGCCAAGTCAACGGACCGCCTGACTGTGTCCTGACTGGACTGGCCTGCTGACCCCTCCCTCCGCCTGCTGTTCCCTCCTTTCCTCCACGGGCTCCGAGTGGGTTTCCCCGGCCCTTCTTGGATCGTCCTCCCTTTTACCCATTCCCCCCAGGAGACGCCATCGGCGTCTGTGGCTTCAGTGACTATTTTATGATGAAGACTCCAAATCCATATATTCAGCCCAAACCTTCTTCTGGTCTTGAGACCAGGAGACCCAGCTGCCTGTTGAAATCCCCACCCCGGGTGACGGGTGTCCCTCGGGCATCTCACAGCCCACATGTCACGCCCCTGCCTGGTGGTCTCCACGTCTCAGTGACCGGTAAGCCCTCTTTTCATTCCTTCCGTACCCTCTTTAAAATCACTCAACTCTCCAGTTTCAAACTTTTTAACATTTTTTCAATCTGGACTGTTCTATTTCCATGACTACTATCTTAGTGCAGGTCACACCGTCTTACCCTTGGGTTGAGGACAATAGCCAATATTTATTGAGGATTTACCGCACACGGGGCACTTTCCAGACCTGCACCCCTTCAATCCTCACAATGACTTTACGAGGTGGTGCTCTCACCCGAATTTGCAGGTGAGGAAACTGAGGCCCTGGGAGGGTTACCACAACCTCTCCTGACAGGCCTCCCGGCCTTCTAGCTCCACCCCGCCCACCCGTGCTCTCCAGGGTAATCTCTACGACTTTCTAAAACACCTCTCAGACCTGCTTCCTGTCTTGCTTCTCCCACTCCCTGGCTTCCTCTCGTCCCTTCGGGTGAAGGGAGAGCTCTGTTCACACAGATTTCTAAAGCCCTTCTGCCCCGGCCCTTGCCTACCTGTCCAGCCTAATCTCCTGCTAATCCCCTAAGTCACTCTTTGTACAGCTACCCTGAGTTCCTTGTGTAATGAAGTGGAGAATTTATTCACCAGCAATGCCTCACAGGAATGTTTTGGAAGTAAAACCGTGTAGGGAAAGGACCCTACCGGAAGTCAGGGACAGTGGATAAGACGCCAGGTCCCCCAGCTTCCGCAGAGCGGCCCCGCATGGCCAGCACGCCCACTGGGCTCTTCTGGCTGGAAAGAGAGCCTGCGTGCTATGTGGTGTGGGGCGGAGAAGGGTAAGGGGAAAGGGAGGGGGTGAAGAAAGGGGCACCAGTGGGTGTCTGGAGGGACTCTGGTACTTTGTGGCGTGTTTCCTCCTTTCCTGTTGGTGGGAATGGCGACACCCGGCAACTCCGGAAGCCCTGTGTCGAAGATGGCAGAGCTGCTGTTGTCACTCTGGGTTCCTGAATGACCTCATGAGCAGACTCACCCATCAACCTGAAATGCTCCTCTTAGATCTATTGAACGAGAAAGGGAAGCACTTCCATGTCCCTTAAGCCACCGAAGTGTTCTGTTACGGCAACCTAGCCTATCCTGATACATCCCATGGGGTGGAAATTTGATTTTCTGCCCCCAGCTTTCAATTTAGTGCCTTAAGAAATCTGCCTGTTTGGATCATGAGAAGGTCAATGTCAGACATGCTTGGGTAATGTGAAGCTGTTTGTTGCCCAGCTCCACCGTCAGAGAGCAAATCCACTGGGGCTTCTGCCCTGGCCCAGGTGATGCTGTTGGCTTTAGGACACCTGTTGCAAGCCAGGTTCTTCCATAGACTTGGAAAGTCTTGGTTGGACTTCGAGTCACGTTTAAAACCCGCCACAACCCATAGAAGTCCCTGCAGAATCTGCTCCCAGCTCTCTCCTCCTCACCTCCCTGCTCCCACTCGTACTGCTGTCTCCCACGCATCTTCCTCTCAGTGCGCTGGGCTCCTTGCCACCCGGAAACTTGTCAGGCACCCAGAGTCTTGGCGTGTGGTGTTCTCTTGGCCCCTCGACTTGCTCCTTCACCTCGTCTAATCTTTGCTTGGATGCTGTCTTGTTAACGAGAACTTCCTCGCCCACCCTATTTAACATGGCAACCCCCGCCCCAGCAGTGGAGACGCCTGTACCCTACTTCACTTTATAGCGCTTGCACTGTCCGGCCTATTGCATATTGTTCAGTGTTTAAACTCTGTCTCCCAAGAATGTTATTTTGATGAAAGCGAGGCTTTGGGTCTGATTTGTTCACGATGGGCTTCTGTCGCCTGGAACAGCTCCTAGTGGTCACTGAACACACACGCATGCAACTGAGTGTGTGAACACCCCCCAGAAAGAGCAGAGGGACGGAGAACCTTACAGGCGTAGACCCGTGCCAACGTCCGCCTGATGGGTCACAGGGTCCCCTGTCCACATGCCGTGAGGCGGGCTGCCTGGTGTCACCGTCACCAGGATGGAGACGGTCTAGGCTGTGTATGTCGAGTCCCTCTGCGCATGTCAGCGAGAAGGACTGGAGAAACCTCGCCATCAGACTGGAGTGACTTCTACAGAACATCGTCCACCGGGAATGGCAAAATGAGGTTTTGGAGCTCAGAAGGAGGAGCACTTTGTGATTAAATAGTAAGTCTTGGTATTAATTGCATTCTGAGTAGCTTTTAAGAGATTTCACATTAATGAGGCTCGTCGGCACTGATGATAACAGTGGCCATGGCTGCCTGCGGATCAACACTGATCCACAAGGCCCCGGCCTCAGATGTGCAACTGTGATGGGTTGGACTGTGTGCCTGCAACAGAGAGGTTGAAGTCCTGACTCCCAGTACCTCATAACGTGACCTTATTTGAAAATAGGGTTGTTGCTGTTGGTATTAGTTTACGGTGAGGTAGCACTTGGAGAGCTATGGAGCCTTCATCTAATGTGACTGGAGTTCTTACAAGAGAAGAGACAGACACCCAGGGAGGAGACCACGTGACAGTGGAGGCAGAGGTCGGGGATGCACCTGTGAGCCCAGGATGCCAGGCATCGCAAACCAGCACCGGGAGCTGGGAGAGGGAAGCAAGGGCACCTCCCCCGGGCCTGCGGGAGAGCCTGCCTGCGCCTTGACGGTGGACGGTGGACGTCCAGCCTCTGCCGGGTTTGCGCTGCTCTCCTACGGAAGCCCTAGGAAATGAATACACCTCGCATTTCCTGCCTGTTTGAAGTCCCTGCTGGCTTGATGGGGGGTGACGGCAAGGGACTGGGAATAGAAGATGACAGCAAGGGACTGGGAAGAGAGGAATGTGGCAATGAAGGAAGCTGATGCAGAGAGAGCTGGGGAGATTTTTAAAGGCATCCTTGAATTTTGAGGAGGAGGGAAGGGAAGATACTTACAGAAATTTCTGGCATGCTTTCTATGCGGTTAGCTGTGTCAGACTCTTAAGAAGGCCCTGGTCACAAAACCTACAGCCGAAGGCCCAGCGGCTCTTCCAGGAGCTGACGGTGTGGTTTGTTTCTCTGACTCCACACACGGGCCGGGCCGCATGGTGTGTGTGCCTCTCATCGGGTTAATGGACTTAAATGGGTGATGGTGGGAAAGCTCGCCGGTACATTTCTCTCTACTGTTGTACTTGTCGTCATTGCCTCAGTCCAGCCATGCTGCCAGCCCTAAACTCACATCAAGAAGATCCTCCCCGGCGCCTGGCCCGAGCAGGCAGTCAGCGTGTCTCTGACATGGACACGTGGCTGAGGTCACGTCCGTCCCCATCTCTCCTATCCCAGTCGGCACCCTCTTCTTGCCTCTGAGAGGACATGTTACAGAGCCTTCTGGCTGCTGATTTGCTCCTCTCCCTCTGGTACTCTGTGACCCCACGGTGGGCGGAGACGTCCCCTTGGCTCTTTGTCCCTAACAGCTAATAGAGTGGTTGGGATGCGGTCAGTGTTAATGTTTCTTCAATGAATAATTTTAATGAGGAACAGGGCCGGGGTTAATATTCATATCTGACTGGTGAGGCCCAGGGAGGGAAAATGAACTCGCTGGTAGGAGGGAGCTCTCCGATACTTCCACACCGCCCTGGGGGTGGCCTGGGCTGACCTCTTCCCCACTGACTTTTGGGAACTCTGTATAGAGTTCTCACTCCCAATATCCTAGCCCTATGTTCTTGGCCTTCTCTCTCTTCTCCTGGAGAGTTTACTGAGCCCCCAAGGAAGCTGCTTCTTCCCTAAGAAGGGGGAGCCCTCCCCCGCAATGCTTCCCAAGTGGTCTGATGCACCAGGAAGGTGGCGGGTAAGGAAGAGAGGGCCTGTGATAGCCAGGAGTAAGGTCTGCCAATGACGCTCTAGAAGCCTCCCGAGGTAGCTGTTATTATCGCCCCCACTTTCAGACAAAGACATTGAGGCACAGAGAGTTGATAACCTGCCTAAGCATAGCTCCGTTCCTTTGGAGGCAGGGACTCGAACAGGTCTGTCGGGCCCCCGATGAACGGCCTTGACC